AGCTGGTCCCATCCGAAGGAGGAGAAGTGGGATAGCAGGGGACAGCAGCGGGGACGTGCCAGCCCTCCCAGCGCTCCTGACTCCTGCAGAAGGAGCTGAACAAAAGGCATCGATACACGTGGTTGCCAAACAGAACCAAAAAAATAAAACAGAATTTTACTAAACCCGTGAGTACTCCTGAAGTTTTCCGAGCAGGATTTTTGATTTCTAGACAGAAGAATCTTCGTATTGGAAGGTTCTCATTCCGGTACGAGGAACAGCTGCCTCTTCCATCAAACACTTGTGAAGCCATGGGATCCAAACATCCAACACAGAGACACGCAGCACTCCCAAACCCCCCAGCAGAAGACCAAACCTCCCCAAAGCCTCCAGGGAATTTGTTCTCCCTGCATGTTTTACAGTTCTCACCATCTGGATGAAATATCTAACCCAAACGACCAAAAGAACAGAAATACACTCCAAATGGTGGCATTACCAAAAATATATATGTTTTTAAGAGAAAAAGCATGAAGTCATAAGAGCCTGTCAGGGAGGAGGCTTAATTACAGCGTGGGGTATTGCCACTACTCAGAATGGTTTTGGTTGATGGGATTTTAATAAGCAGAAGTTAGAACCCAGCCACCTAGCTAAGGAAAACCAAGCCCGGCTGTCAAACGCTCGGAGAAAAAGTTGGGTAAATAAGCTGAGCTGAGGAGGAGGAGGAGTTTGCAGCGTGTCTTCTTGCCCAAGTACCCAGCACTGAATAAATAATCATCAGGCAGCTCTCGTCCTCCGTTCTGCTGAGTGCACAGCAGAGAGCAGCCACGGCAAAAGTCATCTTTTAAGGAACGTTTTTCTAATATGGAAGAAAAGCTCTGTTTTCCCTCAATAAAAAGCCATCAGCGGTCTGGCGGCTATCGACAGTTAAGACATTGATTCTTCATTTTTGCTAATGATGCCCAAGAAATAGGTTTGTACCACCCTGAGTTAATGGGCACGCTCCCGAGGGGTGAAATCGCTCCAGTTCAAGAGGGAGCGCAAGAGCTGCGGGATTTTAGGCTGCCCAGAGAGCTCGGGGGGCTCCTCCTTGGAGAGCTCAGCAGCCACCGGGACGTGGGGCTGAGCACCCTGCTCGGGTGGCTCTGGGATCCTGAGATCTGGGACTCTGGGATCTGGGACCCTGGGATCTGACCTGGAAGCAGCCGAGCTGGGAGTGGTGGTGCCTTCACGGAGAACTGGAGCGAAGCCGCGTTTCGTCTGGAATCTGGCTTAGAGCTGGCCACGGGGAAGTGGAGCAAAGTCAAATTATGGCTCTTCAGGGATTTTTTTTTTCCTGTAGATGGTCCATAAATGTTCCACTTCAGCTCATTTTGAAAAACCTGCTCTGGAAGCGCCGAAGAGAAAGCCTAGTCCTACAAGAGCCCTGTCAAGAAGATAAGCGTTGAGGAGACGCTTGGCGTTACATAGCTTTAGGCTCCTACATTTTCCACTCCTCGTGCAGTAAAACCATTTCAGCGAGCAATAGAGATTGTGCTGAGCTGTTGTTATGCTTTCAGCTACTGCCTGCCATCCTCCCTGAGAACCATGAGTTTCTGAATGAGGGGAAAAAAAAAGGAGTTTGAACACTGTCAAACGCGCCGCACCACCGAAGCGGATCAGTCGGGAGATTAGCGAAGCGGCTCTGTCAAAACAACTCGTCTTCTCCATCTCAAAGCTGATATTCGAGGGGGGCTGGTGGGTTGTTCAGGAAGCTAATACAGGAAAACTCTGCCCAAAGCCTTATCTTAAAGGCTCCCAAGGTGATTATGATTTTAATGGTGATTGTGAAGCCCAGCAGCCCATTCGGACATCTCGTCTACCCAGTCCGTGCATGCAGAGCGCATTATAAGGGTAGAGATTCCACCTCTACGGGGCTCCAGCAACCAAAATCCAGAGATGAGCTCTTAAACAAAGAAGATGAAGCTGGTAAAGAAGATAAAGATCCTCTCTTGAGCTTCTCGTGAATTTCTGCCCAGCCTTTTTGACCGTACAACTAAAATTGGGAATCAGCCTCCATCAGACGCAACCACATCATGGTTAGGTGAGCCAAGCAGGTACCCAAGTACGTTCTCCCTGCCTCCAACAAACACCAGGTGACGAGCTCTGTTCAGTCCAAAAGGGTTTGAATAACTAAATAGATAACCTTTCAATCAAAAGAATCGAGTTACCTCTCATCTGCCGGCACGTGGCCACTCCACCAGTGCCCCAGAGGTGTGCGAGACCGACCCGGTCATGTAAAACCAGGTGGCTCCCTCTTTTATTCCAACCTTAACTCGTGCACATGAGCCACCCATCGCAAAATGGGCTAATTTCCCAAATCAGCCTGGAACAGCTGTTAATGCCCTGATTTCTGAGCCCATCCTGCAGCTTGTGCTACACGGAGAAGCCACAGAACTGAGCTTGAAAGAAAAATAGGACTTTTTGAGCACCTTTGGTTCCCAAGAGGGAAATCTGGGGTGAAATCCATGCAAGCGAGGTGTTTCCCCTCCCCCAGAGCGATCAGCCAGCACATGGTGTGTTCTGCAAAGGCACCAGTAATTAATGAGACTCGTCCAGCTGTGTAGATCTGGCACTCTCCTACTCAGCTCAGCACCGGCACGCTTCCAGCTCCCCCCTCCAGCCTCTGAGATAGAAACCAGCGGGTGCCTCCAGGAAGGGTTTATTTCCAAACTGGTGGCTCTGCTCGAGAGGAGGGAGATATTCCACCCCTTTAGCTACGATTATTGTCTCACCAGAGATGACCTACAGCCAGATTTTGAGGATTTTCGCTTGCTTTCGCATGCAAGTAGCTTGTTCAAGCCACCCGAAAGCGTGCTGAGGAGGAGAAGAGCGCTCAGACACACAGGGCTGAGGTTTTTCGGGTGTGCCCGGAGGAGCAGCACAGCCTGAAAGCCACACCAAGCCCTCATCCCCTTCAGGTCCTTCCAGCAGACCCCTGTCGGAGCGGTTTCGAAGCGCACAGTCCAGTTTCTCAGCCTCGCTGGGATCTACCCACGCCTTGCTCACCTTTCCCTGCGGTTTTCTTTAATTAACGCTGTAAAGAACAGTAAAACACAGCAACAAGCACATGCTGCAATCCTGTGCCAGGCTCCTCTTGGGACAGCTACTTTATCCCACAGTCAGCAGAAGCTCCTTAAACCCCTCCAATATAACCAACACTGCGATCAAAGCAAACCGTGTCGAGATTTTACTACAAAAAATAATAATATTTTTTAAACTGCTGTGCTAACATTTGTCTAGGAAAGACATTTCTGGCATCATTTTCTCTTTCCTCCTCTGCCCCACACCTTTATTTTCCACTTGAAACCCTCCGGCTTGCATAACAAGCTTCGCCTCCTGCTTACGCTGCCCTGACTGGAGGAAACAAGAAACGTGAGGCTTCTGCTTGCTCTCCCTCAGTGTGATTCTGAATGAACTCTGGGCTTGTCACTACGCAGACCCAAAATGTAGGTCAAAAGTCTGCGCGGTTTGCCTCAGCAAATGACTTCACTTCATCTGCCTGGAGGCAGATGGGAACTGAGTCATCCTGCTGCTGCATCATCCTTTGCTTTGCTGCTTCCCTCAGCCCTGGTTGCTTTTTTCTTACCACCAGATTACGGGTGAATGCAGGCAGAGCTATCCAAAGACCAGCAGAGCGATGCCTTGTACCACACACTGCACAGGGAGGGGATATCTCCTGTTTATTTTTCGTTAAAGCCATGCCTTTTCCCCAAAACAGCACCTACCGCACACGTAGATATGATTCAGAATGAATTCAGATGTCTTTTTTCTCTTTTCATTTATCTGCTACAGTCGTCTTTCATGAGAATAAGTTATTACACATGAGCACGAGAAGAAATAAAGGGGTTATTTGAGCTGTGGGACAGGAGCACGGTACCCTTTCCATCACTGTCTGCACGGGTCCTTTGCTGTGGCCGCTTCGTACAGCTCCTGTCTGCCTGTCCGTGCAGCTCTGTGTTACATTACACAACGTAGGGCTCAAGGTTTTTGTGCTAGATGCACAGACACACGCTGCAGTAAAGCCCCTGGCTTGGTGCTGTGCTCAGGTGTACACACGTGGATGAATAAGGAAAAGATTACGAGATATAAAATACCTGCGTTTGCAAGAAAAAAGGCTCAGAAAGGGGTCTGGCTCCTCTGCAATACTTACCTGTGCTTTCACAAGTTCTACGTGTTCATAAAGATTTGATAAATGTTCAGAAAATAGGGACTGACGGGGTCATGGAGCGACCACCCAACCCATCCCTCTGTCCCAAAGCAGAACCAGGTTTTACCCAAACCGACCCTTTTCTCAGCAGCCATCTAAACCAGGCTAAGATCTTTGCATCAGCGTGGTTTTTGCAGCTTGAGCAAGTCGAATCCACGCCTCTGTCCCAACTGAACGTATAATCCACGGCGTGAGGATATCCACAGGGTTATGCATAGCCCAAACAAGTTATTCCAGTGAAGAAATATTAATTATTACAACCAACAGGAGTACAGAAGGAGAAAGTGCTGATGCATCACTGCTGCGGGTGCAAGAACCTACAAACCTGACCACGAGGTTTCCCTCATTTAAAATGAAAACTACATTTATTTATTATTTTTTTCTTTAATTCTGCAAGCCCATTTTGCAAGGGGAAGGGAAGCAGTAGTGTTGGCCAAAGGTAGTCAACAATCGTGCAAGTCAGAAAGCCCAAAATTTGACTTGTTCTAACTACAGTTTTTGTATGCTCATTTTGCAGACCCCGTTGCTGTCCTTTCTGTTCAGCAACATTTACACCCAAACGACCCAAATTCACTCCAACATGCTGGCAGTTGAGTTGCAAAGGACCCAAAGAACCACCAGAGCAGGCAGCAATCAGCTCAAGAGAGCCAAAATGGGATTTTTCCAGTGGAAACACCAAAATCATTCTGCAGCAGTAGCTTGAAGCACCACCTCGTTCCCTCATTTTCAGGCTACACGAAGCAGTAGAAACATAAGAAAGGCTTTTTCCTCTCACCTCTTTGTTGGTGACTCCCGGGGGCAAAGTCCCATGCTTGTAATCCTCCAGCAGCTGCACAGCTTCCTTCAGGCGACTCTGCAAGCACAAGAAGCACGGGTTGCAACAGACTCGAGTTATAAAATCCCGTCTCCTTTCATAAAAAACACTTTATGATGGGTCCTTTCATAGATTTACACACGATATAAAAGAGAAGAGTTGCATGGACATTTGCTTCATTGGTTGGCACAGCCTTGCTGTTTGATATCTCACCATACGTGTAGCATAGAGGAAGAGGGGAAAAAAAAAAAGGGAAAAAAGAGGAAATACAAGAAGTCCCCTTTGCAATGCCTCTGCAGAGGGCATCATACAAACCTGACGGCCTTCACTGAGACCTGATAAGTCTCGGAGCAGAATGAGGTCTCGCTTGAAGGCAGAAAATGGATGGGTTGTTTTACATTATGCCCTAACGTGTCCACTTTACCCTACTAAATGGCTATTACTCCACATAAACTCTCAGATGAATATTTCCTGGTGATACCGAGAGGGAAAGCCCTCAGCACTGAGCTGTGCTGTTTTTCCACGGGGCTGCTACGTATTCGTGCAGATGGGGTTTGTGCAACCAGCCTTCTCCTCCCTAAAAACACCACAAGAAGCCCTCGGTGCAGTTAAAGCAAAAATCTGGCCATCGGTGAGCATGCCTGCGAAATACCCTAGCAAATAAATGCATGTGCAAGTCAGGATCTTCTTCACGTTGTGATAAAACAGAAGGATAAATGCATTTCATGTGCTCGAGTGGTCACAGGAGCACTCAGCCTTGCTACCAGCCTGGCAGACGTACTCCCAGGACAGCTACTCATACCTATATAAAAAGTTTTCTCCTGTTGAAGCAAAGTTTACATACTTATTATGTATGTATACACTAAATAAGTTTGTACAAATTCATATCAAACCATGTCTAAGCATCTATTTTGTTTTTTTTTCAATCCTTTACATACATAGAGCTCTCGAAGTGAAAAGCCACGGGGCAGACAAGTAGAGCTTCTTTACTCCAAGCTACGGAGGAGCAAGGCAGGGCACAAAGAGCTGCTTCGGTGGGGTTAAATCTGCTCATCCGAGCCTGCAGAAGGCACCAGATCGCCGAGCAGTGCCTCCCAGATATCTGAAGCCAAACAAATCACTCAGCCGAGCGTTTTCAAAGGACTCCTGCAGGTTATCTGTCACCCAGATGAATAACACCGCCTCCGGTTTGATGTTTCTGCGCTGCCTGTTGTTTTGGCACCTTCTCCAATCCTCGTTTTGTATTTAGGAAGTGTCCCCTGGCATATTTAGCAGCGTGCAGCCGGACTGCAGCTCCCCCGAAGCCCCCTTGGTTTCGGCACAGCGGTGCCACGGCGCAAGGCGAGCATCCTCCGGCTCCGTACGTGCCACCGTGCTGCAGGAGACTCCTGCTCTGCCTTTCATCCGAACTTCAAAGACTCCTTTGTGGTTCCCTTGGAAGCACCAGCAGTGATGCCAGCCTGAAAACGGCGACTCATGAGCGACTGCTGTCTTTAAAACTCCCGGCACATGATGGAAAAGCAGCGATTCCTTCACGTCCCAAGGTGAGAGCGTTGCCCCTGGACCTGTGGTTGTTCTCACACGGGCTGAGCTCGCATCCTCAGCATCACACGTGTCCAGCCCTTGCACTTCATGCTCCTACAGAGTTCATTCCTACCTGTTCTTGGCCTTGGAGATGAGGCTCGTAGGTTTGAGTGCTGACACCGAAGTCAGTGCTACCACCCGAGGCTCTCCGGTGTCACTACACACACAACAAGTGCCAGTTTTCCCGTTTTCTGCCCAATTTCTGTGTTTTCAGGCTCCCTCTGACTGAGCCTGTCCCACGCTTTGTGCCTGAGATGCCCCACCAGGCTGCTGGTTGTCCTCACACTCCACCACGCCACGTGCCCAGGGCATCAGGAGCAGCCTGGGCTGCTCTCAGCAGGCAGGACATGGATCCACTCAGGTCCTGGCATCATCCTCGACGTGTAGCACCCTCATCGACCATCCCGAGGGGCTCCAGGTCAAGTGCTTGACTCTGGGCAGAAAGGAAGGGTTATGAATTAGGATGGCTTTTCCCCAGGATGCGTTATTCTTGTAGAAGGATGGGGATCTTGTACAAGAAGAAGAGCTGGCCTTGAGAAATGGACACCTGGGATGAGATCCAATGGCACAACCACGTGGTTGAGCACTTCTGGGCTGGCCCCAATTCCTGCCAGGTCCTTGGGAGCTGGAAATGACCCTCTAGAGGTAAAAGCATGGGATGGTCACCACGAAACTGCGAAGCAAAGGAGTACCATGAAAAATAAATAGGATTTTCAGGCTATTTTTAGTATGAGCAACAGCTATCCAAGGCCACAACAGGACGTTAGCCTCTTCTGGTCCTTGGTAGCTCCTTGTCTTATCAGCCCCATGGTTGTTATCCCATATTAGCTCATGCAGAAAAAGCCAGCACCACACCCGAACACCAATAAAACATAATTGCCTGTAGGATTTCAGGTATTCCGATAATCCAGAGGTGAAAAGCCAGAGCCACCTGACTGCCTGCCGCCTGCAGAGCTGGGGAAGACAACCCTCCTCGCCTCCGAAGCTGGGAAATCAACCAGCGATGCCAGCACAACATTCTGGAGAGCCATTTGGGCTCATTATCCGGGCGGTTTTCTGCCGCTGAAATTACCTCCACTGTGTGCCTTGCAAATTATCCACACAGAACAGCGTGTAACTCTGAATGAAAAACTGGAAGCAAGAGATGAATGGGTCTGTGTTCTATTTTTTTTAATTATTTTTTTTTTCCTCCTTCTCTTGAGGAAATCTTAGTAGTTACTATAACAACCCTGGCCAGATCCCATCTTGTTTGGTGTGGTAACAAACAGCAAACAAAAAAGCCCGATTTCGCTTTTTTTAAAAAATCGCACTCTTCGTGAATTTCCCCTTTCAGCTCCGTGGGGGGAAGAGGGGAACTTTCTCAGAGAAAAGTCCCGGGCCAACGCTGCTGACGGCTCCCGAGGCTTACAAAAAATTGGGGCAGAAAGCGAGGAAAAACGTTAAACGCAAGGACCCCGTTAAGGAGCTGCCTTTCACGCAGCTCGGAGGTCTTCAGATGCTTTCAGCAGACAACTCAGCCTCCAAGTTTTGTTAGGGAAAAGGCACGGTTGCCTCGTTCCCCCTCTAGAAAAGCCAACCATGCTCTTTTAACTAAAACCTCCAAAAAAAACAGCAGCGACAAAACCCAACGGCAACAAAAACCCGGGAACTTTTCTGCGTGCAGCAGCTCAAGATGCCAGGCAGCTCCGCTCCCTGGCTTTTAGCACGAGAAATCATTATTAAGAGAGCTGGTAGTGTCTAGGATGACACTGCTTCTCCCTTTTAACGAGGGGAAAACGAGGTCTGCCTACAAGGTCACGCCACCATTTCAATATTTATTGTTGCTCGCTTCTTCTACTGATATCTGTAGGAAGAAGTGTTACTGGGATTTTTACAGCATCGCTTCAAAAAAGAAAAAAAAAAGTGCAACCACAGTTGTTTTTTTTTTACTCGGGTGTATCATTTCCTTCATACCCCTCTCCTGGTAAAAACCTAGAGCACTTCTAGTGGTGGATTACGGGGTCTCAGCTCGCACAATAGGGTGTGAGACGGACCATCTGCACCCGGGGAGCGTTCTCACAAACCCCAGCCCAGAAGTGGTGCCAGGGATCCACCGAGCTCAGCACAGCACCTCGTGGCAGAAGGGCTCAGTCTAATAGGAACACAGCCCCCAAAAAACTATGAGCTAAAGCTCAGGTCCCTAATAAGTGTGCACTGGGCTCCCACTGATTGAAGTTGGCTGCCAAAAACCAGTCCTTGGCTCAGGCTGGCTAAACTAGCTCAGCTGTAACCCCAAGGTTTCAGAGCGAAGAACAAATATAACCTGCCTGGACTCGGGGCAGCTCACTGCCCAAAACACGCTTGCAGAACTCCATCAGGAGAAGAATCGGTCTTTGTAGAAAGAGTTGCTGAAGGATCACGTTATTAGGGGCTCGGTTTGGTGCTCCAAAGAAAGGAGGAGAAAGAACAAACTCGAAGATGCCAGCGGGACCTTAGCCTCCACCACGCTGAGCTGATCCGTCGGTGGCATCCCCAAATCCCTCGTGGCTTCAGCGCTCTGGTGAGGTAGAGGACAACCACATTGAGTCCTACAGAAGACTGCACACGTGTATAAATTTATATATTCGTATCAGACACCTCCTTCCAGCACGAGAGCTCTCCTCCTGTTTTTTTCCACCTTGCCCCCTGTGCGCGAGGGCACGCCGATTCCGTCTCCCAGCTCGGCGCCTCCTCTCCTCTTGGAGCTCAGCTGATGCCTACACATGGCTCAGAGCTGCCTCCAGAACCCCATATGTGCACAGAGAGACCAGAATAACAGTCATTATGCCAGAAGCACTACAACATTGCTGTTACAGAATCAACAGAGGGAGAGAAAGTGTCGGGCTTCGCACTCCAGCCTTTTAAGACACGACCCAGTGATGGGACAGAGCTCGCTGGGACACCTGGAGCCTCGTTCTGCTGGACCAGTGCCGGTGCTGGTGCCAGCCCCACGCTGCCCACTGCCTACCTGCGAGCTCAGGATCCCACCAGCCACGACTTTCCTGGCACTCGATGCAAAGGAAGAGGCTCCTGGCCACCGGCACCACAAACTCAAGGCGGGATTTGGGAATCCAGCTGTGCTCTGCCATCAGCTCCCGGCTCCGTCTCACTGCTCTGGGGATGATACACGCGGCAGACTTGACTCCAGCTGGCCCTATTGTATTGGATCTACAGTGACAGACAACAGGAGCCAGAAACTTTTTTGTTCAAGTAGAGCCAGCAGATGTGACACTGAATAAACACAGACAGTCAATCTGCTGAGTAAGAAGGTATCGTTCGTATAAATAACATACATCTAATCCTGCTTCCATTTTAAACCCAAATATGGGAATGCAAGATGCTCGGCGCTCTGTAGATGTATGCTCTGAACAATGAGATCAAGGAAAAGCAGATAAGACGCAGCTCGGATTCATCCTCCTTTCCCTTTTGCCCTGAATCGTTATCAGATCCCCAGCTTTCCCCACCAGGAGCTTCCCGCAGAGCGTTAACAGTCTGTCCGGGCTGATGTCAGATGGGAGAAGTTAGCCTTGTAAAAATACCTGCCGGGGCCCTACTGCTTCTTGATGGACCCTAATTACGGAGCAATTAAAAGCATTTCTCCAATCGGTTGAGCCTCACACGTTCGGGAAGCAGGCGTCGCACCCACCCAGGGGCTTCTCGTGGTCTGGTGGGGCGTGACCTCTGCAGGGACACGTTTTCTGCTGGTTGGAAACGCCTGCAAATTTGCAGCTGCAAAGTAAATGATTTAGAAATTATTAGAAAGCCAGCCACGAGATGGATTAGCACGCAAAAACTCCTCTTCGGGGAGCACAGGCCGTGCTGACACAAGCTCGGTGCCTCGTTGCAACATCCTATGCAGTCAGAAAGCCAAGGGGAATTGGTAGGTGAGTTACAGATATTGTTCTACCAGAAACCCTGAAATATAAACCCAAAGAAACCGGTGTTCAGCTGCCCCTGCCCTGCACAAGCAGGTGGTTTTTGTGAGTCCAAACTTCAATACTCCAGTATCTGGCACGCATCCCTTGAGGATGAATGCTCAAGAACCTCTAAAAGGCGAGGAAGTTCTTAACCGAGTTCAGAATTTGCTTTATTAAAAAGGAATAAATGAGTAAGAGAGGACTGTCATTGAGACTAATTAGACTTGATATCGCCGTGCTGGGTTGCTCCCACTCCGCGGAATCGCTGTCTCCTTCCCCAGAGCACAGCCACCAGTAGGATGCGATGATGCAATTAAAAAAAGGACACAGGAAAAAAATATATATATATTATTCCATTTCCCAGCCTTTTCCACGGGATTAACCTCCCTGCTCATTAGAGACTCATTTAGCTACTTTTTTTTTTTTCCCCCATTTGCCAGCGAGCTCCTCCAAGACAAACAGCAATTGATTTGTTCCCCGAGAAGCCCGGGCCTGAGCGATGCAACCATCTGTCAGGGGAAGGAAGGAGCTCTCCGTCAGCGGCTGCTGGTTCATCAAAACCCTTTTAGATTTTTAATTTGCCACTTCGGTTCTCGAGTGAAACCAAACAGCTCTCAGCTCCACACTTCGAAGCACCAGATCAGATCCGCAGAGCCCGGCCACGCAGCTTTCTGTTCGGGGAGGTGCCCCCCGAGCCCCCAGGTGTTGGCATCTGCTTGGCCACGATGCTTCCCCAGGGAGGAAGGGCTCACAAAATGCACTGCAGAAGGTCTCCTGAAGCATTTCTGTTATTCATTCAGACCCCCAAGGGAAAGGGACGAGGGTATTCCCTTCCTTGGGCAGCCACCAAGCCATTCCTGAAGACCACGGATGTCAAAGCCGTGAGGTTTACACCCCAGAGAAGGAAACCAAACCTCTCGTGTTTGTTGGGGTTCTGTTTGGGGTCCAGAACTGCTTGAGTTTCCGGGATTTTCCTCTTTTTTGTTCTTATATCTTGCCTTCTTCAGAAGAATTGTGTCAGAGCCTCTGGAAAAATTAAATTTAGCCACCTGATGGCCCTCCACCTGCAACCTTACCAATCTTTTAAGAAACTTCCAACAGTTTGACAAGGGAACATAGGGAAGGTTGAAAACCACTCAGCTGAGCTAAAGGAGGGATCATCTCCTTTAAGTCCAGAGCAGTTATCCACCTCGCAGACGGCTTACCCAAATTCAAGACATCCTCTACATTGAACAAGCAGCAGGAGTGAGGTAAGTGCCCTCGAATGCAGACGAGATCCAGCCCTTTGAATGTAAGAAATTGATGATTTCTTGTGAAACCATGAGAAAACAGTAGCCTGCCAGGATCCTAACCGAGCTGTTTTCATTCTGGGAGCAGAACTGACAGTGAAACACCAACAGAGTCACAGGTTTGGGGTGCACAGCGAGACCAGCCTGAGTTCCAGTGCTCAGACTACTTAACCTTTTTCATCATCCTGCCACAACCACAGCGTGAAATCCATCCCAAACGGGAAAACGTGAGATTTTCTTCAACCTATAGTGTAAATGCAAGAAGCAGAAGCACTAACTCGACCAAGTTCAAACGTATCTCCCCACTTTGGGGACATACAAGAGCTAGTTTTGAGAATTCTGTATTTTGTCTGTATCCACGGCATGGTAAAAACCAAGAGTTTGTTCTTGGTTTGGGTGTAGTGGGTTACCCAACATAATAATAATAATAATAATAACAACAACAACAATAATAATAATAAACGCATGCTATAGATTTAAATGGAGATTTGAGGATTATTGAGAATTATTGAGGATGGGGAGACTGAGAATGAGGTTTTATTACACATAAAACATTCCTAAAGTAAGAGAAATTTATCCAAGCAGAACTTTATCCAACAGAATTTATCCAACAGAACTTTCCTCCAAAAAGAGAACAAGAAAATAACCCGTTGTATAATAAAACACACCAAAAAGATGGCCAGGAAAAAGGTGAGCAGAACCACCTGGATCTTTTATCCCACCAGAAGAACCTCTCCTCCGTGAGACCTCCTGGTGCAGGCTTTTTGCATCAGCTTCAGAATCCAAAGCATGAGAAGGGAGAGAGGAGGCTCACAAGTTACACCCAACAGCCTCTGCCTCACCACAAGTGCACAGTGCAGGATTCCCACGCTCTCACACCTCCACCACACACTGCTCTGCTCTTAACACAAAATTTCTGCTAAGATAACAGCAGCACCAAGCCTTCACCGTGCAGTTAATTGGTTTGGATTCTGACCTGTGTGCTCACATCCTCCCTAAATAAAAGCTCTAGCACCTGCAAAGCGCCCTGGATCCTCAGGTTGGGATTTTTATTCATTCATTTCATGACACGTGAGGGCTAGCAGCATCTTTCTTGAGTCATGATGTTCTTTTCAAAGAGGCCACCTCCCCACGCTGAGCTCTGTGTCAAGGATGGTGGCTTTTGAAAACTGATCCTATTTGATCTGAACCTGTGCTTTTATAAAAGTAAGTATAATTGTCAGTCTGGTGGTGTAAAAACAGCTGTTTTACTGTCTGCAGCTCTCCAAAAGATACTCAGAACCGCACAACACATTTTAGCCTTGTGCTTTTGGGAAAAAAAAAAAAAAAAAAAGCTAGCTGATTTGGGGAAAAATAAGAATTGTTTAAAGTTACAGCAGATCTCTTCCTCCCCTCTCTAGTGTGTAAGGAACTGGACTCAGTCCATCACTGGCTGTAGTGGACAGATCTGCTCCCAGTGTTCTGAGAACTAGGCAAAATAAAAAGAGAGAGAGAAAAAAAAAAAAGAAAAAAAAATCTGGCTGTCGGGCAGGATTTAAAACCACCAGCAGAAATAGGTCTTCTAGGGGATTTCTTACAATTAATTCATGATTTCATGAAAGTGGAGGAATTCAATAATGCTGGGCCACACTAAAAGAAAAAGAAACAGGCCAGGAACTCTAAAGCTTGTTAAAAACAGGACAATAAATAAGGAAAAATTACTACACCTTGCTCAGACAAGGTCTTCTTGAGCAGCCAGTGAAAAGCTGCGGCTTGTGCCCACCCAGCTCACGTCCTCCACGAAGTGTTAGGGTTTGCTCTCTCCTCTACTCACCTGTATTTTTTTTTTCCATTCAAATTTGTAGGCACAGAGGGAAAGGGGCAGACGGAGCAGTGTGGATTCACCAGGGGCAAGCTGCTGCTCAGCCCTGTTAGGGCTTGGCCAGGCAATCAATCAGCCACCAGACACAAACCCACTGGAAATCTGGCTTCCTTACCGCTGCTGCTCACAGGAGAAATTGGTTTTAATCCAAACCTGCCCAATAAAGAGTGTTTTTTGGAAAGCCAGGGGCAGACACCTTACCTCAGTGACAAAGAGAGTGCGCGGATCGATGATGTCCAAGAAGTGCCTGAATCTGCCATAAAACGAAGTCTGGAAGAGAAGAACAAACAAAATGTGTTCAGTGACAAACTGCCTTTCATCTGCTGCGCAAAAAATAACTTATTTCCTCCGCACAACTACGGTGAAGCTGAAAAGCAACGGCAGAAAAGCTGTTTGCTATAACGACAGGAGGGCTGGAAGGGGCAAGGCTCCACCTCGATGCTGCTGAAGGAAGCCCCAGCCCCTGGGGTCTCCTCCTCACCCCACTCCTCACGAGCCAGGCGAGCGAGGGGACTGAGCACAAAGCCACTTCCATGCCTTGAGTTCATTACAGGACTGTCCAGGTGCTAAATTAGGGCTGGGTTTCACGGTGCCAGCCTGCAGGAGCGCAGAGTAAAAGACAAACTGTGAGCCTTCACGATTTTCAAAACAACCAAAGCTTGAAGGTTTGGGCTCCTTCCTATTTGCGTGCTTGGAGAGAATCCAATTAAACACGTTCCCAACCTGCAGAACGCTCAGACGTTGCAGACACCACACTGAACAAAATAATTGGTAGGGTTTTTATAGAATGAGAGAAAAAAAAAACTATCTTCAACCTCACCACGCTCGTGTCGGGCAATGCTCCCTGCTCCCAACACCCTCACAGCCTAGGGAGAAGAAGAACTGATGACCAAGTGGAATAAAGCTGATAAAGGGTAAAAAATGAATGGGAAACGTTCTCTGAAGCAAAACAGCTCTTGAATCTGGAACCACAGAGACAAGGGGAGGGTGAGAGACCGGTGGTGCTGAGCTTGGGCTTCGGGATGCCTCTGCACGACGGTCACAAGGAGATAAATCCCTTTGCCTGTGCAGTGCAGGAGCTGCTGGAAATAAAGGGCTGCAACGTGGCCACGGCGTGGGGATGGCATTTAGTCACAGCCTGGAAGTGTTTTGTGAAGCCTGCTGGTGTTGCTCCACCGAAACCATCACGCACAGAGGCACACCGCCGACACCGCTGCCTGGTTCGGGCAGAAATCCCTCCCCAAACGCAGCTCCCGGTGGCACTTCTCGTGTCCTGCACTAAAAAAAAAAGAAAAAAGAAAAAAAAAACCTGCGACTGAGCACAAACAGCTTCACAGAACTTCAGGAAAAAGGAAAAAAAAAAAAAGCCTGGTGGTTTTTAATTAGCGTTGATTTAATTAACACTAATTCTGGTACTTTCCAGCTTTTTGAGCTTGGCATTTCGCTACCTTGCTGGGATTTTTCAGCACAAAAACCTCTGCGGGTGCCAGTGCCCTGTAATCACCGCTGCCCCGTGCTCCCTTCGTGCTGCCACGGGTCCTCTCCTCAATCCTGCTGCTCGTCCTGCGCTCTGTGGTCTCACGGGGGAGCCCCAAAAGCCTCAGGTCTCACCCCAAAATGAGGGAGCCGTCTCCAGGTGGTGCCTGGAGCAGGCTGCTCTGTGTCAGACAAGTCCAGGGGCAAGGGAAGGGCCACCTGAGCGGGGCCACGGATGGCACAGCCAGGTCCTGAACAAGAAAACTGGAGAATAAAGACCCCAGCACCATCACACGGAGCTGCTGAGAGCTCCTCAGCTACTCCCACGTCCGGGCCAAGATTTTAAAGAGCAGCTCTGTTAATCAAAAAAATTTAAAAAAGGATTTAATTGGTGTAAAAAGCACTTTGCTGCTTCTCCCCCTCACATGCGCGCACGAGGAGGGCTCTGTCACAATCCCAACACTTCACTTGGGGAGGAAAAAAGCCAAAAAAAAACACCTTAACCTGCGGGGACACGCTGATGTTTGACGCTGCCTGCTTGCTCCCTGCCTTCCCGCGATGGCAGCATCGAGTTTTATGGTGAATAAAAGCCAGGAGGAGTTAAGAAGACCATGACAAAACTCCTTCAGGGGAAAGGAGATGCCCCTACAAAGAAAGCAAGCTGGTTTAAAACACTTGGAAGAAATAAATTCAGAGATGTATCGCAGAAATATTTTTCTTTTTCTTTTCTAGTTATTATTTTTAAAATCTGTTCAACATTTAGTGTAAAGCTAGATAAGAGCAGACACTGCCACGCCTCCTGGGGTTTCTGCAGCAGGGATGCCTCACCAAAAGCCCCAGCCTTGGGAAAAATGAGAACCTGATGTCAGGAGAAGCAGAGGATTGCAGTTCCCGGCTGTCACACTTGTCTTCTGCAACTTCTTGAAGTTCTGCTGCTGCTAACGAGCACTTGCTTGCTTTTTAAGCTCTTTAAGGTGTTAGGATGCGTGTCGCTCCCTGCTCCGCTGTGCCTTCTTCGGCTTTGAATCATCCAGGGACTGCTTCCTTTCCCCTCCCCTACCTGACCCTTTTTCCATCATCCCACAAGGCACAGCAGGGGATTTCCATTCCCTCCACGCTTCGCACTTCAGCCAAGCAGCCCCAGATTTCAACAATTCGGGATGTTTGCTTCTCAACAGGATTATTTCCAGGGATGGAGCTCGCAGAAACTTGACCTTCAGCTCCCGGTTACCCCCGGCGCCTCGCTTGCCGCTTTATTCCTGCAACATCTGCTGGAGTAAACTGTCACCGGGAGGAAAAAAACTGCGTAACGCAAATTTCCTGTGATTAATCAGGGCTATTTTGGTAGCGCTTCTCACCAGCCTGCACGCAAAATGAAGTTCTAGGAATATTAATTCCCTGCCACGGCACGGCAGCGCATTACAGCCCCGGCTCCGTTCAGTCGCTGTGCTGCAGGATCCAGCTGAGTCCAGGACGAAGGCTAGAAGAATTAAAACACTCCCTGCAGGCTCTAGAAATTTGGAGAAAAGGGTCAGTGACCACTAGGAAGCACTCATTATTCACCTGCCTTTAAAGAACGGGGCATTCCTCAAAACCCCGTGCTGGAAGGAGAGGGGACGTGCACACCTTTACTCACTTAATTACAGAGTGATCGTAAAAGAGATTTAATTAAGCCAGAGCAAAAGGCACGCAGACTCAGGTTTTTTATTTTTCTAGCTAAAAATGAGGCTTAGGTCAGCTTTAAATTAATTAGGAGGAGATTTAAGCTAAAGCAAAGAAAATATATGTTATAAAATACAAGCCACCGAGCAGCTGCATGCAGGCAAGGTTTGGCTTTGAGATTGCACACACGTTTATGATCCACCCCAATTACAGATCCAGGCTTAAGCTATGGAGCCCTACAACACCCTAACGCTGACTTCAGGGTATTTAAGGGCCCAGAATCTGTCCCTGCATCTTCACCTGCAGCAGCAGGCAAGGGTTTAGATGTCCTCAGCCCCAAGGCAAAGAGGTGAATCTTCATTTTCACCTTCTCACGGCTGGCACTGCAGCTCGTGGACTTGTCTCGTGGCCAGCAGTGTGCTCCTGGGCTGTTTTAGCCCTACACGATTCCCAAATGCTGGGAAAAGCCTTCAGCTGCCCAACCCAACCCAACCCACGAGGTACAGGGGTTCCCAACGAGGTTTGGGGTGCCAGGCACCCAGCAGGGTTTACACCTTGCAGCACAGGGCACAGAGAAGCCAACTCCCTCTTGAAACTCCATCCCTGACTGACAGAGGTGTAGAAGAGCCAGTGGAAGGCTTTTTTTGGCAGATCCTACAAGGTCAGCAGCCAAACACCAAACCCAAAGGTGGCTGCGCTTCCTCTGCTCCTCTACAGCAGCTGCAAACCAGCCTGAAACATCCTCCTGTAGCCTTGTAGGAAAATCCCTTCTCTGTCGTGGTGGTCTCGTTCATCTTCGGTGGAAAATAACTTCAAACTGGGAAGCCGGAGCGGGAATTTCTGTGTAACTTCACGGTGTTATAGCACAGCCCTGGTTCCTCCCGCTGCCTGAACAGGGAGAGTAGGAGGGGATGATCTTCAGCACTGACACCCTTAACGAGATGTTTCCGAGATCAGCGCAGCGCCGCTGACATCGCAGTGCCACCAGTTTACTCCTCTTCATTTCCCTCTCCTTCCCCTAAAGGATCTCAGGAACGCTTTGCAACGAGGATGAAACGCGGGTGACTTGTTGAGGATGCTCACCTCAGCCTGGAAATCAGCTCATCTCCCTCTGCACACTTCGTAGCCCTCCCCGCACCAGCCAGGACAGCCTCGTGATGCTTTTTAGGGGGCTGACCCCAATAAAAACCCCAAAGTTTAGCTTGCACTACCTTCCTGCAGCAGTTAACGCCGCTGTTTGGTGAACCACTGAGCCCAAACCTTACGCAGAGCTCTGCTGGAAAGGTTTCCTCAGCTCTTTTGCTGGAGGATGCATTTAATTTGCTGGGCAGAAGCAGGAGCCCTGGGCTGCAGGCAGAGACCCTGGAGCTTTGGGAGCTTGCGTTTGATGTTTTGGCTCAAAGAGAGGGAGCACTTAGCAAATCCCTTCTTTAAGAAAAAGAAAAAAAAAAGAGTACGATTAACAAATTAAAACGACTTGTCAGAAAACTAAGCCCTTCTCACACGTTCTCAAGCCTAATGTCCTCGTTTCTTCTTTCACCTAAAAATAACCTGCTTGCCTTGGGAGGCAAAAGCTGCTCCCAGCAAAGCAACCAAAAATGTGACTCGACAGATGCGACTTGCCTGAAGAGCAGGAAAAACAAGCGAGCTGCAAAGCAAGAGGTGGGAGAAGGGGAAACAAGTGCCAGGGCGACGCTGGGGATGTGTGCCTGCCATCAGCTGCCCTAAATGCTCCTCCAGCCCCGAACCAGGGCTCTGGATCGCAGCGAGGGAAGGAAATCGCCTCCTCTCCACACAACCACAACCTCAGAACACCGAATTTGCTCTCTGAGGCAAATTCCTTGCTTTTTTTATGTTTGTTTTTTACACTCGTGAGGACAAAGCTGCCTCGCACAGCTCCCCTGCGTCTCACAGGGGCATTCTTCCCCAGCACCAGCCCGCAGCCCTGGAGACTGAGGTTCCCTGTGGGGAAATAAACACCAGCTCACCCCAAGGATGGGTCGGGATGCTGCACTCAGGGACCCAAACGGGGGCAGATTTGACCTCTTTCTCCTGCTCCGTGACCCCACAGAGCTGCCAGACCCCAAACCGGGCCGCCTGGATGCGTTGTGGCCACGTCCCCCCCAGGCGTGGCGGTTGGGGACAGAGGCCAGCTCCGCTCGAAGGCGATCATTAGCATCCTGCCATAGCCCTCGAAACGTTTTCTAAATGTTGCTACAAGTGACAGTCGCTCCTTAATGAACAGAATGCACCGGCTCGGTGCCTGACGCGCTGCCAAGTGTGCCTCGAATCATCTGTGGTGTCTAGAAGGGAGTAGTGTCTCCTCCTCCTCCTCCTCCTCCTCTTCTCCTTATTACAAAGCTCCGTCTCCCCAGCCTGAGCATCCCTTGGGTTTGTGCAGGGTGTTCGTGGTTCCCATGGGGTCCCTGCACCACCTCCTGTCCCGCACCCAAGGGAGATCCCAAAAGCAAGGTGGCCGGGATGGGCATGCAGACGGAGCCCCACACATGAAAACAGCAACAGGACTTCTATTTCACCACCCAAACGGGCGGCTTTGGTCAAGCCGAGCTTTGGGATCTTCAATTAGCAAGTCAGAGGGTTGGCAAAGTGCGGTCCTGTGAAGATTTGGGGTGGATGGTGGGGTGGAAGTCCCCTTGGAGAGCTCCCCAAAAGCACGGGGGAAATGTATTAGCGAACAGTTCGGGAACCGCAATGCCTCCTTCCTTCTCGTGGCAGCCTCGCCCCACTCCAGGGAGGAATTAGGAGCACATGCAATGGGTTGTGTGGGTTTGGAAACCTTTCAGAAGCCTCAGCAGACCCCAACACAGCCCCACAAAACCCAGGCGTGAGCTGCACCATGGCGGGGGCGCTGAGGGTACCTCAGGAGCGGCAACTTTGGGACGTGTGGGAGCCAAACAGCCCCAAAACCCGCCCCAGCTTTCCTCATCGCCACCTTTACGGGCACAGGGGGGTTTTAAAGCCTTTTATCCCACAGGATTTGGGATGGCTGAAACACCCCCAAGCCCCACAGGATCCCACTGGCGCAGACCCCCCAAAACCCCACACAGGCCTGACCACCCCTCACGGAAACCCCTTTCCTCACAGAATTCATCCATAAATGACTAAAAATCCTCCACATTTCCCTCACACTTCATGTTTTTTATTATTTTAACAGATTAATCTCCTCACACCGGCGGGTGGGGGGGGTCCGGGCACCGTTTTGCCCATCACCTCCACACAACCTTGGGCTCTCAGCCAGCCCTACCAGGGCCGGGCCCAGCCTCGCAGCACCGCGTTTGGGGACATGGGACCACGCTGTGGGGACAGGAGGGTGACACCAAAAGGGGTGACACCAGGGGACCCCCGCCCCTATTCCCCCCCTCCGTCCCCACCAGGGTTTCGAACCCGCGACCTCGGGGCCCCCAAGCGCGCGCCCACCCCCCCGCGCCACAGGGGCACGGCGGGACGAGCCAATCACCGCCTGCCAAGGGGCGGGGCGCTGAGGCTCTGAGTGACAGCGGCACCAGCCAATGGGAGGCGGGGCGCTGACCAATCAGCGCGCAGCTTGAGGCCAAAAGGGGCGAGGAGGGGGCTCTGCCCCCCAGAAGGGGGGTGGGGGGGGCACCGTGAGGGACCGCTCTCGCCGCCGCCGCGCCCGCCCCGCTGCCGCCGCCGCCCGGTACCGGTACCTGCTCGAAGCGGGGCTTCCCCAGCTGGAAGGGGGGGTAGTCCGCCGGCTCCGCCATCCCCTTCGCGCTCTGCGGGCGCCACTTTAAACAGCCTCCCCCGCCGCCGGGCCCGCCCCTTGCGGCGGCGCCGCTCTGATTGGCTGCGGCCCACCGCAGCCCCCGCGAGGCACGATGGGAAATGTAGTTCCGTTCCCCCCTCCCCTCCCCTCCACTACCGCCGGCCTTCGCGGCGGCGCGGGGCAGCATGGGAGTTGTAGTCCGCGGCGGGGTTTGGGCGGGAAGCTGAGGGGAGCCCTGAGAGGATTGGGGGGGGGGGCGATCGGAGCGGGCTCCCCTCAGCTGTGGCGCTCGCAAAGTGCCATTAAAACCATTAAAAACATTTAAAAAAACGTGGGTTTTTGGGCAGTGTGAGGTGCTGAGGGAGCAGCTGAGGGGTTGTGGTGGAGCAGCTGTGGAACAAACCCCTCAGATATCCGCCCCGCACCTGTCATACTGGAGAGGTCCCAGTTTGCCCAGTCAGAACTGGTTGGGGGGAGCAGTGCGCCAAGGGCCACGCACAGGATAAGGATATTTCAGTCTTTTTCCCCTGTTCTCCTTTTTTTGAGGGAGAACTGTTGGATTTAGCAACCAGCCTGAGGCAACGCCCCACGCCCGCCTGGCAGAATTACGTTTTTCCTTCCCCAAAAGCACTCACACCTCACATTTCAGCCCAATTTTGAAGGAACACCCCCCAAAGTGTTATTTACACCCAAATGCACAGCAGCCACAGTATGATAGAGGATGCCCAGGAACGTGACGTGGATAGCAGGCACCTGCCTTAACTCTGAAATTGGGAAAATAATTGCACAAAGCAAGGTGCAAGCTCAAAAGCCTCTGGAAAAAAATCCCTCAGGTTTCATCATATCCCTCTGAAAATAATATCCGTGCTTTGATGGGAGCCTAACACTTGCTATTGACCTCTAAAATATATGATTAAAAGTAAAGAATGGGAAACCTGCGAGTAATAAGTTTACCCTGATGCAGGCTTACTTATCGGCTTCATCAGTATTACGATTTGGGGAGATAAAGGCGAGGTTCGTGTGGGGCTGGGAGCAGAAGGGGTGCGTACGAAGCAGTCTCCGGAATCCTTTTCTCTAGATTAGTGGCATCAGAAACGCCCGGCCCTTCAAATGCCGCTGAAATTGTTTGGAGGATTAGAAGCAATTCTCCGAGGAAGAGCAGGGAGCCGGCGGCGACCCCGAAGATGCAGATGAAGCAGGGAATGCGGTCAGGGTATAAGAGGAAGGCTCGGTGCAGCCGCAGATTACAGAGCAGGTCAGAAACAGGATTTGCAGCGAAAGAGAAATTAAACAATATACCTGAGTTTATTTATTGATTTAGCTATAAGCAGCAGAAGGGTTTGCTGTGAGGATGCTGCTGCTCTGCTTCATGGTTGTGGCTGCTGCTGTTCGATGCTCTCTTTTCACCTCCAAAACCAGTTTCATTTTCCATTTTTTAGGCTAATTTGGCACCGATCCCTTTCACTGAATCTCCAATCTCTCTTGCAGCTCCAGGCAGAACAGGAACCCAGCGCCGTGCCTGTCACAAGGGTGATATCCCACAGCAATACCGAGTCGTATAAACCCTCACAGCTTGCCGTACGGTGGGTTAGGGGCTCTGCTGAAGCTCCTGCCAGCCCTGAGGCCCCGTGATATCTCATCACCACTCTATCTGGCCTCTCTGTGTGCCCACAGCCCCTTGGCCATGTTTGTTTGAGGGAGCCCCATGGCGTCACTGAGTTTATGTAGGAAGGGAAGGGATGAACCTGGCTTTACCTGAGCCTTAATCCACAGTGGGAGCAGAAACTGGGATATACAGCCCAAAACAGCACCTCAAAGGGCACCTACCCTCTGTACCAGCACGAGAAAGGATCAAACTGGAACAGAGAAGGGCATTTTCTCATTTCTTGTTCCTTTCCCATTAGAGACACTGTCCAACCTGTTCCTTCACAGAACCCCAGACCGGCTGAGGTTGGAAGGGACTTCTGGAGGTCATCAGGTCCAAATCATTGTTCAGGTATGGTCCCCTAGAGCAGTACCCAGGCCTGTGTCCAAAAAGCTTTCAAATATCTCCAGGGAAGGAGACTCCACAACCAATTTGGGCACCGGGCTCTGCCCCCACAACAAGCCTGATGCAGTTGCAGGCTGCCGGCCTCCCCCACCGCCTCCCTTTTTGCCTTTTTTCTGCATAGCTGTATGAAAACACAAAAACATGACCCCCAGGAACGGGCAAAAACCTGGTCCCACAACAAATTCTGCTGACGGCTGCGTCCCCAGTGCTGCCCTTGTACCTTGTCCTCGGAGTTAATGGTTTGCTTCCCCTAATTAAACTCCGCTGCAGTGAGCACTCACTGCCTGCTGGCCCAGCTGTGCACCCAGGACAGGGTTTCGCGTGGCTTAAACCTCATTTTGACCCCACAGGACCCTGCTGCCCTTCTTACCCTCTCCTCGCGATGCGGTATCAGTCCTAATCCCAGAGAACAGCGTGTAATTAGGGCTTGTTTTCTTTTAGGCAGGGTCTAACGCTGCTTGGAGCCCTAACACTGTCTTAAAGGGCGAAAAAAGAGAAAAAATCCTGTTGGCTATGACTGGTATCTTATAACATGACTCTTCTTTTTCTAAAGGTTTTATTCCGTACTTCCCAGAAGTAAAAATGAGCAGGAAAGGAAAATCACCGGGGCTCTGCAATGAAGATGGATGGCAACCCAAATCTCTCAGCCTCTATACCAGGGAAATCCCCCTCCCTCCCATCGCAGCCAGAGCCAGATAATTGATACAATCCCTAATGTTGACACACTGAATGTTTTATAACAACAGAGGGGAGAGAATCTGTTTATCTCAAACCACATTTGGAGTGACATAAGACTATCACTTTTTTGGTTAAATACCAGAAAGAATATCAATTCTTTGGCTGATATCAATCTAACCAGATCCCTTTAGACTGACAACTTGCGTTTCACTGGTTTGGGGAAGGAGAGGGGGGGGGGGGGAGGATTTGCTTCCCCAGTTCAGCGGCTGTTAAGTCAACATTGACATTTCTTCCTGCTTTAGGGGACACACGAACACGCGACGAAGCCCCCAGCCACGGAGCAAACAGAGCTGGAAAGCAAAAAGAGAGAGATTTTGGGGAGGGGGGGGGGGCTCCGACAGCCACCCCGCCCGTGACAGCTGGGTGCAGAGCCGGGCTGCCTGCTGGCTCCGGGAGAAAGTCGCAGGAACATTTCTTGTCGGCTTCCATCTGTAAAGCCAGATTTCGAAGACAAAACTTGCGGCGGGCTGCAAAACTCAGGCTCCGAACAACAAATGCCGCCAGCTCTTCCCCCAGGGACAGGAACCGTTTTGCCTTAGCCCCGAGTCGGCGCGTGGAAGCTTCCAATCCCCTCAGTTTATAGCGGGACTGAAGTCTTCAAATCCTTTTTCTTTTCTTCCTCAACAGATCCTGCCTTCTACTTACTGCTGCTCTGCTCCACCCCTTGCAGCCAGCCCAACCAGCCTCGGAATTTGGGGCTGCCTTTATTTAGGGTCAGCTTTCAGAGGGGTCACGGGTCAGTGCCCTGATCCCGCTCGGCGGCGTGCTGAACATTTCCCCCCAGCTCTCGGGGCTAACGTCAGCCCCCCGGGCAGGTGCTGGGCCCACAGTCCGGCTGGATGAAAAACAAACCGGGATTAGAGCTCACGAAACTCTTCTGTCTCGTACCACAAAGTCATTTAGTGAAGCTTAAAGGCTTTTTCTTCTTTTTTTTTTTTTTAAAGGAAAGAGCATGAATGAAGGAAAAAAGCAGGCATTGGAGAAGGAAAACAGCTGAGAGGTACAACAGGTGCCTGGGATTAGGGCAGAGGAGCTGAAGGCAAAGGTCTGGGCCCTCTGCTGAGCCCCGTCTGCTGCACAGAGGGGAGAAACGAGCACTTCAGGTAAAAACCCTGCGCTCCTGTGAGCAGGGCACACAAAATAAAGGTACCAGGGGCTTACACCCAACATTTGGAGAGCCACGCGCGGCAGCGGGTGCTATGGGACTGCTAATGATGCTCTTGGGAGTGGAAAAGCTGCCGGAGAAGTTGGGCACCAGCCTCCTCCTTCAGAAAATAAACAGAGAAATGTCACTCACTGTCCAAGTGCTATCAGCACAGACGCTGTTGTCAATAAATCAGAAGTATCTAGGAACAGCTTGAACAACTTTTATTATTTTTTTTTTTCTCCTTTAAAGTGCTTAAAACGTAAATAACAAGCTCTTTATAAACATCGGTGGCAACTATTAAAACATGAGACACACAGAACCCGCTTCCCACGTACACGAAGCACGGGGGAAAAAATCAACAACTCCCCGAACCCCGACACTTCTCTCGGCCGTTTTGGGATGTTTCTTCACCCCACGTTTATAACATAAGACACGTGGCTGTTTCTTCACAGACGAGTCGTGAGGCTGGGCCTACGTGACACCTCGGTACCCACGTCCCTTCGGGTTTGTTCCAGTTGAAGGACACGCCTCGGCTGCTCTTCTGGCCCAAACTCCGGGCCCGAAGGGGCAGCAAACACAAAAACAGATCGCTCGGCTTCTTTAAAAGCAAGGCGCCCAGCTGTGGGGCTGACAGAACAGAGCAGGTGAGAGCAAACCCTGCAGAAAACCCGTGGAAACAACTTGGGTGTGGGGAAAAAAAGAAGGACAGAGCAGGATGCAAAAGGCAAAATACGGAGTTATTGCTATGGCTGTGTCTGGAACCGAACCAGTGAAAGGCTGCGGCTGGCCCAGGCGACCTCCCTAAAATCCTTTTTCCTGCTCCTTTCAGCACAGAGCAAGAGCCCCGGGTGTTACCCTGGGGAGCACCAGCGTGGACACTGCAGGATTTCTGCCCTAATTAATTTTCTGTCCCCTAATAACATCCCTTTGCCGTGAGCTTCTACTTTTCAGCATCCCTGACCTGCACAGCTCTCCTGATGCCACTCCAGCTGCCCACAGCTCCTCCCTGGTGGTTCCAGGTGAAAGGGAAGGCTTTTCTACAGGACACGGGCACCCAGAAAGGGAACCCTGCTCCCAGGCCATGGGAGATTTTGATTATAAAGGCAAAGCGAAGCTTCTTTTTTAGCTCTCCATATAACGAGAGCGAAACCCCTTCCCTCAGGCCCTCACGTCTTACACCAGAAACGCAACTCCCTGCATCTTAGACACATGGAGGAAGAGAAAGATGCAGGCAGAGAGGTGCAAAACCCCAGAGGACTTCCCTGTTAGGGACAAGGACAGGTCCAGGCTCAAAAATCCTCCTTTTATTACGGTGGCGGGCGAGCTAGACATGACCAAACACCGACAGCGCTGCCAAATCCCCTTTAAGCTGATGCCTCCCACTTCCAACAGCCTCAGGCTGCGAGCATGACCCAGTCCTGTCTTCATGCGGCTGAATTTTGTCTTGTAATATCTGCCGTGCCCTACCCTCAGCATCATCCCTTGGTGTCTGCAGCTCCCCTGTCACAGAGGTGTCTGCGCAGCCTGCCTGGACCAAAGCGAACAGCCCCCGGGGACGGGAGGGCTCTGCTGACTGCTTTTAGGAATAAACTCGCCTCGTTCAAATTAGCAGGCAAAAAGGTGGCCGAGCCACGTTGCACTGAGCTGGAAATCGGATCTCAGAGCCTTTTTTTTTGTAGGAAACTGCCATTGTTCTTTTGCGAAAGGCACCATTTTTCAGTCCTGGTATACACGGAAACAAGTAAGGAAAAAAAAAAAAGAATATGAAGTTAAAAAAAAAAATCCAGGACCTTTTTAAGATCTACAGAAGAGAAAAGACGCCCTGCATGTGGAGACAGCTCAAGTCCCACACGCGCTGATCCTCCAAAACACAAGCAGAGGGGGAGCAGCACCTCTTTTCGGTGCCCTTCCCCAGCATCTCCAAACCAAAAGGCGCTGCCAGGAGCGCTGCTGACCAGCCTCAGACCGTCACCACCTACAGCTACTACACCAGGCGTTCAGGGAGCCTCTCCACGGCCACTCCGAGCTAGCAAGAAGCACCCAGCTCCCGAGAGAGCTGGCCTAGGACGTCTACGGGTGGGCCCAAGCTCCCCTGGGCAGGTAAATGTGATATAACTCTAGCTGCTTTGGGACAAATACTGGCTGGAAGGTGATTTTTGCATCGATTAGCGGCCTGCTAGCTGTCACAGCATGTGCTGGCGTGTGTCGGGCGGCTGCCTGAGCTGCGGGGATGTCATGCACGGGGGTGGCAGGGCAGCCTGTGCACACCAGGGCAGCCTTTGCACACCAGCTCCGGTCCGTAGGGCGTTGATTATCCTGGTGTGTTAACGACAACGCCAAGTGGATGGCGGGGGGAGGCAGCCGGTGGAAAGCAATTCCCGCAGACGCAGGATGTGGGGGGGTTAATACTGATCCTAAATCTCACCCGTGGTTTGTACACGCAGGTGGAGAGCTGGGCGGGGTGCGAGGAGCTCTCCCCCAGCACCGACAGTGCATGACCCTTCTCCCAAACCTATTCTGAGCTGCACCACGACTGTGGCATGAAGCGAAGGAGCCAGCGCAGCTCCCAAACAGGCAGCAACGTGGAATCAAGCCCTGACTCCAGCACTGCTGTTTTACCACCTCCAATACCCCCAGGTACTGCCATGGAGGAGCTGGCTGCTCAGACACCCTCCGTTTTGGGGTACAACATACAGGGCAGGAAGGGGAAGAGGCACCCAGCAGCAGCCCCTCGCCCTGGCTGCCCTGCTGAGCGCACTCAGGGCACGGTGACGCGCTCCTAGACCCTCCCTCAGTTTTTTCACCCCGATTTCTTCCCCGGTTTAACACTCCACCAGCCAGAGCACACCAGTTCAGAGAAGGGACCACGGACGAGCGTAGGCGGGAGAGCAGCAGCAGCATGACACGACGAGGGCGAGGTGGTTTCCAGCTCTCTCAGTGTCCCTGGACCACTTAAAGCATCGGCAGGACGAGCGCCTGAGAAGGTGCCACGAGGGCAGGGACCTCAGGAGGGCTCCGCTCCTCCCCATAGGGTGGAGGACAGCCTCCCACCCTATAGCTCCCAGGAGCTGGGTGAAGCAGAGCGCCTTTCCTGCTACACTCTGCGAGCAGAAGCCCTCTTGCAAGAGGAGGGGGGGAGTGCAGGGATGTTTGCAGCGCGGTTATTGCGGAGGTGCTCGAGGCAAGGGCTGCTGGGCTCCGCGAGGAGGTTATTTGGTCTTGGTTTCCCCTCCCAGGGGGATCTGGAGGAGGGTGGGAGACTGCTCCATGATGCGCACCAGCAGCTGGTCAATGTAGTTCTCCAGTTCCTGGATGTGCTCCTCCTTCTTGCTCAGCTCCTTCTCCCTCTGCAGCAGGAGCTGGATGAGTTCATCGTGGGTCAGGTGGTAATACCTGGCCGACTGGTCCAGCACGCCGGGATCCTGCGGCAGAAACCAAGAGGAAGGTTCAGAGAGTCAAAACCACCACTCCTTTCAGCGTTTGCAAGGTGCTGCAGCACCCAACGAGGTCAGTTTTTCCTGTATTTGCCTCGTTTCCAAATCTGAGCGGGTGAGCTACCACGTCTCGTGGTCTAAAAACATGCCACTGCTTGCCCAAAAACACAGGAGGCGGAACAACTTCTGGGACATCCAGGCCCATACGGCCTTGCAGAGCGCTCCCACCGAGTGAATCATTTAAAAGGGTTTCCCCAGAGACAATTTCAAACCTCAAAAAACAACAAAAAGCTAAGGGCAGGGGCACAACAGACCCCATGAGCCTGGCATTCCCTGCTCGGGGGCTTCCTCCTTCCCCAACCCCCCAGCAGCTGGCCTGGCTGATGGCACGAGAAGAGAATTAAGGGCTGAAAGAAGGCACGCGGAGCAGCTGAGCAGTTTGTTCCTACCTTTAACTTCTTGGGGTCGGCTTTCTCCGGGTGAGACGACGGGGCCAGGGGCTGGATGCTGCCCGTGGTGACCGTCTTCAGCTTCTCCAGGCCGTTGCTCAGAGCCTGCGTCAGGCTGGACTTGTGCTGCTGCTGCTTCTTCTCCTCCTGCACCACAGCGCTGATGGGCTTCACCGGGTGAGGGCTGAGTGGAAAAAGGAGGTTTTTAGCATCCTTTGTTTCATATTTAGCACCCTGGCAAGCTGGGGAGCAAGGCTGCTGGCTGTCCCTAAGGGTTTTAAGGGGGATGGGACCCACTGAGCAAATTTGGTCACCTCCAAGCAGTTAAATCACCTACATGTGCATTGCTCGAAGCTCGCCTGCTCCCAGGGGAGAGAAGCCAGCACCCTGCAGAGCCCACGGCGCTCTCCAGCACCATTTCCACCCCGAGGTGGGACCTGCATGGACAAGGAGCCCCAGGCTGAAGCTCCAGGCAGCCAGATATTGGCACAGCCCAGGGAAACTTAATCCAGGTTCCACAAAAACATGGTCCTGAACCACAATGCATCAATTCCTGCACTGCCCCAGCCCAACAGCCAGGCTTCACTACGTTTTCTTTCATTTTTGCTTCACTCTCCATCCGGAAGATGGAACGCAGCGCGTTGCTTTTCAGCATGATGGAAAGAGAAGTGACCTGACAGCACCTTCCTGCAAGCAACGGACAGACCCGTGCACCGTACTCCGGATAAAAAGATCTTAAAAAGATCTTAAATCCTACCCAGGACCTCCAGGAAGCCTCCGCACTCCTCAGGTGCAGAAGAAACCCTACAAGGGGGGTTAAAATCCCAACAATACTGCAGGGGAAGGGGGGTGTTGTGCTCACAGGGCCTCAGCTCTTGAGCGAGGCAGGCGAAGCACAGCCTGTCTTCACAAACAGGGACCTCAGGCGTTGGTGGGACGAGGTGTGGGAGGCAGAAGAACACCCACAGTTATCGTGCGAGCTGCCAGCCGGGCTGACAGACGCCTCTCCAGCCCAGCTTGTGCTGTGGGTGCCCGGCTGTGCTTGATTTCAGCTTCCAAAGCAGAGCAGGCAGCTTTCAGCCCCGCCGCGGGACAGAGCTGGCAGCTGAGGCCGGGACGGAGGTGGCATCACATCAGGCTTCGGCCCCGAGTCCCCAGGGCTGGTGTCCTTGGGCCTTGTGGGCAGTCACAGGTCAGGATTTGCCACACATCGTCCTCATTGAGCTGCCAGGGAGTTCTCTTCGCATCTAACGTGCTCTCCAACCACGGTGATGCCTCCTGTCACCCATTTTCTAGCAGCAGTAACACCACCCGGCTCCAACAAGCCATTAAAACCCCTCATCAGAGCTGTCAGAGCTGTCCAGGTGCATGGACAGGTCCCACACGGCTCGAAAAGCCAGAGAGGGATCCCACAAACCTGGGTGGGAGCCCACTGAAGCATCAGGGCTGGGGAAATCAGCATTGTGCACGCCAGCCTCGAGCACCCAGTGCCCTGCCTTCACTCCTTTCACCCAAACTGCAAGCAGCACGATGCCTCCCAGCAGCTGGCTGCGTCCTTTTGTTACCACACGAGATCGGTGAGGGCGAACCAGAGAGGACCAGAGGCCAGGAACAAATCCTGAAAGACGTTTCTACACAGTCCTTTAAAAAAAAAAAAAAGGGATCCAGAAGAAATGATTTTGCTTGCTTGAACCACAGAGCAGGGCTGCAGAAGCAGGAGGCACGCCTGTAAGAAAAAGCCTGCTGGCAGTCAGACACCAGAACCATTTCTAACCCCTAAAGGTGTCTTCTGCCCCAAACTCGAAGGCCACTCGGCAAAAAGAAAACCAGCCCCAGTCCTGGGATGGCAGCAGGGTAACCGGGATGGGCTTCGCTAGCAGAGGCTGGTCTCGGGCAGCTCTCGCTCGTGTTGCCAGTGGGAACGCAGGAACTTCTGCAGAGCTGAAAAACACTAAAAATAAAAATAAAATGATCCCGTTCTTGGCTATTGCTTTCTGGCAGCAGGAGAAGCCCGATCCATGGGGCCGGGCACCAGGGCACTGCCAGCAGCAGTCAGAGGGTCACTTCACGGCCCCATCCGACGTCCCGCTGGGCCTGCTGAGATGTGGGACCCGTTTCCAGCTGCGAATCCACTGCTGTGCCTCCAGGTGACCATAAAGAAGATAAAAATTAACACCTTTGAGGTGAGACCCCTCAAGATGAAGGCAGCACGACCCCAGCCCCTCTCCCTGCGAGCCTCGCTGGGTCGCAGTACGGCTCCCAAGGTCGCTGCTGAGCGCAAACGAAGCCTGGGGGGATTTCCCTGCAGCAGCTTAGGAATTAAGTCCTTTATCTGCCCATTAAAATGCTCCTCACAGCCAACAAGGCAACAAAGGACAAATCCAAGGAAAATGGTCCGACTCTCCTCCTGTATGCTGCTGCCGCACCCGAGGGCCAGAGCTCCCTGCAGACAGGGGTTAGAGAAGGAAAAGGATAGAAAAAAAAACAGGAATTGCATTCAGATCGCCAAGACTGGCACGTGGGCGAACCTGAAGCCTCCTTTTAAGACAACGACTGTCACTCGCCATGGTCCTTCTGCCTGCTCCAGGTTTGAAGCTTTCCTTCGTCCTTCACCTCCTTTGTGCCATACATTTCTTCTGCACGTCTCGACCGTGCTAATAGACCCTTCTGGGAAAGGCAGGTGCCACCACGGGGAGCTCGCCTCTCCCCAAAACCAGGCTCATCTCCCCAGCCCCATAACGCACTCAGAGCCTCCCACAGAGACCCCGGTGACTCTTCCAAGCTCCTTGAACCATAACACCAAAAATCCACGCCATCCCCACCTCCACAGGCAGAGGAACCAGCCTGGAGATGCTCAAGGACTTCTGAGACACTTAAGGTGACAGAAGCCAGCACCAAAAGGATGAGCACCTCTTCAGATCCCACTTTCTTCCCTCGAGTGGCTGCACGGGGTGCTGAAAGGTGGCTGGGAGCACACCTTATTGACTCCTCTCCCTGCCCGAGTTCCCCCATAGGGCTGGCAGGACACTTCTCTTTCCATGAAATGCTCACAGAACTCTGCGTATCCGCTGCTTGCAGGTTTTGAACAAGGTGATCGGACAGAGAATGAATGATCCAGTTAAGAGGGATTGAAGGACCTGGCCTCAATAAGTGATTTTTTTCTTTATCAGCCCCATCTCTTGCTGGTCTTTGCTCCCAGCATCATTCTGCACACCAACCCCACACCACGGAGGGATCCTCCTGCAGGAGTGGAGCTCAGGTAGGTTCTACCATCCCCATCCTCCTGTCCTCTCTCTCCCCAGGAACATTTCCCACATTATTCTTGGGCCAGAAGGGATTTGATCACTTCAGCAGCCCCAAAAAACTCCACTTGCCTTCTGTCACAGGCTGATCAAATCACTGCCAGGACAACCAGGTCCCCGTGTGAACCATAAGAGTTTCCCAGCACAGGGAACCTGACCCTTGGTGCTCTGAGCAGAAAGAGCCTGGGACAACCTCCTCCTGCCCAGAAAGACCCGAGGAAGGGCCACCAGGGAAGCCAGAAGAAATACAGGACACAGAGAAGAGACTCCATGCCCTAAACTCAGCACCTTTCTCCACTTCACAGCTTTTCTACCAGCACAAGACCTGGGAGGAGGAAGAAAGCTCTCTTTCCTCCCAGTAGCCCCATGGCTAAGCCCTGCTTGGTTCCTTACCAGTGGGCACCTTGGCAGAGGGGAGCAGGGAAGGGCATTTTGCCACCGCCCCGGCGAAACTCATGTTTATTTTGGCTACGGAGAGAAGTTTGTAGTACCTGGAGGTGGTTTAAAAAGGAAAAAGGGACCAAAGCTGAATGAATGGAAGGGGCAGGAGCCGTGCACATGCCATGAAGGAGCTCACGAGAGCTGGGCCAGCTGGAAGCTCTCCTGGCAGCCGGGCTTTGCAAGCAGGGGGAAGATGATGGAGCCAAAATCAGCACCGAGCAAAATGCAGATGCAATTTGTGGCTGCACATCCAGCTGGGGCAGAGCTCGGCCGTGCCAAACCTTTTGCTCCGGATTAGGGCGAAGAGGGGAGAGCAGTGGCTGTTCCCCACCGAAATCCGAGAGAGCTGAGGGTTTGGGCAGCCCAGGTGGGACTCTTGGGGACCACAGGTATGGATCAGGAGGGGAAGGAGACGGAGGGCACCTCCGTGGTGTCCGGGAGCTGCCGACAGCGAGCTGGGGGTCACACCTCGACCAGAAACACAAACCCTTCACCTTCCCCGGAGTGCTCACCTGGTCGTCTGCTGGCAAAAGGGCTTCTCAGCTGGCTGTGTCTCCCTGGGCAAAACCACGAGGGCTGAAGCTGGCGTGTCACCGGACTGCAGCCAAGGGCAGGGCTGGGCTGCTGCTGCGCGGCTGCTGGCGGCAGGGGAGGGGAAATGGAACGGCTCGGGGTTAGTGGCAGCCACGAGGAAAGGGGTGGAGAAGGCCAAGGGCTGGCTGGCATGCAGGGAAGGAGGCTCCCCGGGGAGGTTAGTGGGCTGCAGGGTTTCCTCGGGGAGCTGGGGGAAGCCGAAGCCTTGACCGAGCTTTTCGGGCGGCACGGCTCGCACGGGGAGGGGTTCTGGTGGCTTTTCCACAAAGGGGTTGCTCGGGGTGATGGGGCTGGCTGCCAGGACAAAGGGATTGCCCGGCACTGAAGCATCCTGCTCATTCCTCTCCTCTGCTCCATCTGCCTTCCAGAAATCAGCCTTCTTGAAGTCCATCCTGCTGTCGGATGAGCGCTGGAGCTCGGATGGCCGGCCCCGAGCCTGCCCGTGCCGCCCTGCACCGTGCCCTACCACCAGCTCCAGCTCGGGTTGGGGTGGGCTGTGCCCAGGCGCTAACCTTTGGGGCCAGCCCGCTGCCTCCTGCTCCTCCACGGCTGTCCAGAAAGCTTCAGACTGGCCCGAATCCAGCCTGGAAGACGGGGTGAGTCCCGAAACACTCAGCTCCTCGGGGAACTGCTGCTGCTCGGGGGCTGTCTCCAATTCATCACCACCTCCCGGCCCCGGGGATTGAGGGGATGAAGCTGGCTGGCTCCAGCTCCTCAGGGAGAGCTTCGACGGGCACGTCTCAAACTGCTCGGCCGCATCCTCCCCGCTCATCTCTGACGGCTCCGTCCCCAGAGAGGCGTCCCCGGGGGCTGGGATCTCGGGAGCAGCCTCAGCGGTGGCGGCTCCGGGTGCAGCCAGGCTGGGAGGTGCTGGGATGGACGTCTCACCACTCGGGGGCAGCTCCACGTCCCCCTGCAGACCCTCAGCACCTCCCTCGCCGCCCTGCTGCCTCCCCTTCATCTCACACCCCTCCTCCTCCTCCTCCTCCTCTTCATCCCCTTTGCCCCCCGCGGCCGCGAACCACCTGGGAGGTTTGGGGGGCGGCGCTGGGGGCGACGCATCCGAGCCGGGCACCACGATTTCCTCCTGCTCCCCTCGCACAGCCGGCCACGGGGACAGGACCAGGCGCCTCTCGCGCACGTCGGAGCTGAGCCTCAGGTGGCCCTCGCCGGCCTCCAGCCTCATGCTCGCCTGCAGCCGGTACACCGAGGTCCTGATGTCAAACATCTCCTCCCGGCCCCCCGGGGGACCTTGGGGGTCCCTTCCCGGCTCGGGGAAGCGTCTCAGAGCCCCCTCCGGGAGCACCCGAGGGGGCACGGCGGCCACGTTGCCCCCCGGCAGCGTCTGGGAGGAGGTTTCGGGGGGGAATTTGCTTCTGGGCAGGATGCAAGTGGTGGCACCAGCGGTGCTTTTCGCTTCCGAGGCACCTTCGCCAAGGAACGGCCGCTGCCCGAAGGCGCTCTCCTGGCCGATGCTGTGGGTGCTCTCCGAGGGCTCAGAAGCGGTTTCGGTGGCGATGGTCATCCAGCCGTTCTCCCCCAAACTCGAGCTTTCCTCCTCGTTATTCTCCTCGCCCTCCCCGTCGCGTTTTTCAGCGCTTCGTGCCGCCGAAGCCTCCTTTCCAGGGGAAAACGCGGGTGCCCAAACCATCGGCGTGCTGCTCTTCCTCCTCCTCCCCCCGGAGCCGGCGGACACAGGGCTCAGCACGTCCTCTATCACCGTCGCCTCCTGCGTCGTGCTCACCAGGTTGGCCCCCACGTCCAACCCGGAGAAATTCGTCCAAGGCATCAGCGCCGGGGCCACCTCGCCGCCGACCTGCGGCTTCTCCAACGCCTTCGCCCCCTTCTCGGCCGATCCCCCCGCGGGGCTCATCCCCTCAGGATCATCGATGAAGGCGATGCCCTCCGCCAACGCTGGAGCCGAGAGGTTTTCCTCCTTCGCCTCCGGGTTGAGCCTGCTGCTGGCAAAAGCCTCGAAGGTGGCGTCCCACTCGGAGAGAGGAGGAAGAGGAGGAGGAAGAGGAGCGGTGGCGGCTTGCTCGGCCGGAGGAGGAAGGTCTCCGTGCGGCGGGGGAGCGGTTTCGGGCACGGGGACGCCAACGTTTGGGGCTGGAGGATCCCTCAGCGGGTCCGGGAGGCGGAGGGAGGCAGGGGGGCTGCAATCCGCAGAGGAACCCAAGCTGCCAGCAGCGACCTCTGTTGAAGCAGGCGGCCCAGGCGGGGAGCTAGAGAAAAAGCGAGTAGGTGAAGGAGAATTTAGTACCTGCTCCGCCACGAGGTCCTCAAAGAAGGGGTTGCTCTGCAGGGAGCTGAGGAAGGGGTTGGTAGGGGACAAGCAGCCAGGCTGGCCGGCTCCTGCAGCGGGAGGGAGGTGAGCGGGCGGCATGCGAGCGGCGGCGGGAGGAGGAAACGAGCGGGGAGGAAAAGGAGGAGCGGGAGCAGCTGAGCTGGTTTCTACCTGAGGAGACACTTCCAGGCTGTGGAGGGAAGACAAAAGGGTCCTCCTGGTTAGTGCCGCGACAGGGCTGCACGCACGCGCGTAGGGGAGTTATTAGAGGGGGCTAAAAACAATTTTCTTCTCTAATTTTCAGCCACCAGTCCTCGAGGATTGCAATCTGGGGGCTCGAGGAAGGTTTCTCCGGCCAAAACCTCGCAGGCAGGTGGAGGTGACCCTGACCCCAGCCCTCCCGAGGCTCTGCTGCAACAACCCAGCCAGCGAGGAACAGCGCAGGGATGAGAGAAGAGGCTGTGAGCGCCGGCTGCTCGTGCAGGTAGGATGGGAAGGCACCAGCTCCACGGGGCTCAGCACCACGAGCCGGGGGAGCTGCTGCGGGTCTGCCCCCTCAACGGCAAAGTGGCTCGGGCAGCTATTTTCGCTCATTGTGGATGGTTTTGACACACGCACACACACAAAAGAAATATTTTAAAGCACAAAAATGCCACCTTGAGGCAAACGCTAACATTTTGTGGTGTCCTGGAAGCTCTGCGCCTCCGTCTGCGAGCGATGCGTGGTGCGGCAGGACCTGCGCCCACCGCAGCAGGGCGAAGGGACCCCCTGCTCCGCTTCTGGCAGCTCCAAAGTCCCGCTGCAAGCCCCAAAAACACCCCGACAACTCCTCCTTCCTCCCTTGTTTAAGGTTCTGAGCTCGGAGGTGGCATTTGTAGGGCATCTGCCCACATGCACACGGCCAAACCAACTCTGGCACACACCAGACACTCCGCCAAGCTGCTGCTGAGCAGAACTAATCATCCAGGCACCAAAAAGCCCCCCAAAAAACCTTCATTTCCACTCAAAAGCAGCACCTCCCGCAGCGCTGCGGGCACAGACAGCTCGTGGGTGCCCTCTCCTGCTGTCACTGAGCAGCAGTGGTGCCCGTCCCCGTGCATCCATCGTGTCCCTGTGCCTCTCCCTGGCACGTAACGGGGTGGACAACCCACCACGAGCAGCCAGGCGTGCACCACTGCGGAGGAAACTCTCTGAGCAGTGCTTTAAGCTCATGGGGAACACAAAAAAAAAACAGGAGAAGCAATGGGAGAAGGGGATGCAGCCTGACAGCCTCTCTGCTGGCACTGCACGCAGCATCCTCGCGCTCTGTGCTCTTCCCAAAAAGCCACACCAAGGCCACAAGGCAACGTGCCAGGGGCTGCACAGGGAGACAGGGCCACTGAGGTGCCCCAAATTCTCTCAGTTTGGTGTTTGCCATCCCAGCCCCTCAGCTGGGCACACGTTAGCCACGGGCTCCTTCACCACTCGCTGTAAATTCACCTTTTCCTCCAATCTCCCTCAAACTGAGGCTCTCCAGAGGCTCACGGTATCCTCCAACAGCCTCCATCTGCGGCAGGAGCCCGCGTTTCCTTCCTTTTATTTATTTTTTTCCTCCCGGTGAACATCCCTCCCCCAAAACCCCCTACCAAAGAGGGATTTCCACCGCCTGTCCCCACTCCTGATGATGCCCACCAAGCAAGGCTCTCCAACACACCAGTTACACCAGTAACCAGCGCTAACCTCCCTGCTCTGGTTACTGGCCGGGTGCTGGCAACAGATCCACACTCCCCAGGAGCAGAAATCCCACAAAAATCCTGCAGAAATCCTACAGAAATCCTACAGAAACCCTGCTTCTCTGGGAGGAAGGAGGCTGGCAGCACGGCACGCTCCTCTAGAGGGAAACCTCCGCTCGCAGCAGATCTCTGCTGACTCACCCTCCTCCTCCTCCTCCCATCCCCAGCTCCGCCAGCCAAAATAAATAGCGGGTACCTTGCTGCCCTCGTTTATTTGGTTGGCAGCGCTTCCCCGGCGCATTTTAGCCTCCCAGAATTAAAAAAAAAAAAGGGAAAAGAAAATATTGCTGAGCAACCGCCTGATGGAAAGGCTCCTGGAAGCAGCTCGCTCGGTGCAGGATCTCCCCCCGCGGCTCGCAGCCTGGGTTTGAGGCTCGGTGCACCACAAGCAGGAGGGGTGGTAGCTGTGCCCTGCAGATAAAGAAAAACCAGGCTTGGGCTGAAAAAAAAGCAGGTTTGGGGGAGGGCAGGGCCCGAATCTAGCGAGGTTAAGAGTTGTGCTGAAGGTGGGATGGAAAAATCCCTCTGTGGGGCCGTGGAGAGCTGTGCCCCATCACACGGGGCCAGGATTTCCAAGCCCCTCAGGCACACGGGTGCCCCCCCAGTATTTGGGGACAGGGTTTTGGTGGCTAGGATGGATGGATGGATGTGTTCTTGGGAACGTGGCCCCTCGTGCCGCTGAAAATGGAGACGAAATCTCCAGATTTGCCCCCAAAACCACAGTCAAACTAGCATTGAAGAGCAGGAGGAGGAGCTGGGCAGCTCGTGCGGACACAGAAGGGCCGAGATGCAACCCTGGGGGCTCCTGCCGGGATCCGCGGTGCCCTGGTCCTGGTGCTGCCCCGAAACCTTCCTCCAATTCCCAGCATTTCAGAAATGAAATCATCATCATCATCATCATCAAAGCATTTTTTAGGAGCATGTGACGAGGAGCAAAGAACTCGAGTCAATTTTTGGCCTCTGCTGACTATGGAAAAGAGGAGTGACAACCAAGGCGGGAGCAATTTCACATTTTCCTGCCATGAAAGCAGAAGGAAAGGGTTTTTCATCCACAAACGGTGATGATTTATATAAAAAAAATATATAATTAAATATATTTTTTAATATAAAAAAAAGGAGTTCAACTTCTCTCTCTGCCTATTGCCCGGCACAAGATGCGGCCCCATTTTATCATCCCCACCCAGGCCGCAGGAAGCAGGACCTGTGGAGCTCCGATAACATTGTGGGAAAGGCTGAAAAATCTTCAAACCGATTGTGTCTTGCCCGAAATAACCCTGCTGAGCTTCTTCCTCACATACAACTCCTGACCACCGCAACCCTAAAACACAACAAACACCCAACGAACTGCCTTTTTTGTTTAATTCAGGCCTCCCTCTCTCCTCCCACTTCCATCCAAGCTGCTATCAAAGCCCTTCGGACACCAGGGCTTAGAGAGCCCGGGCAAAAACACGGTGGACAAGAACAGCCCAGAGCAGAAAGCTTCCCCAAAACAACCCCGAGGGGTTTTGCAGAGCAGGCAGCTCCGTGCCGGACCCGTCCTCGCTGCAGGCTGATTTGAACCTGAGCTGGAAGGTTTCTTTCTAATTTCTAATTAGAGCTTTTTGCTAATTACAGGGTGAGGTTTTCCATCTCGCAAACACGACGGCTTCTGATGCTCTCTCCCCCACGTCCCGCTGCAGGGGAAATTTGACCGAGCCGAGGGCACCGAGGAGGCTGCAAGAGCTGCAGAGCTGAGGTTTGCAGGTCAGGAGAGTGGGAGGGAAAAAAAAAATAAAAAATCCCTGCTGCAGATAACTCAAAGTTAAGGCATAAAACTGCTCGATTCAGGGGACGGTTCTCCCTACGAAGCAAAGGTTAATCCGTCTCCGGGTGCAGAAGTTGCCCTGGTAAATGAGTGGCCGGCTGGCTTCTCCTCCAGATGCAAATGGGACGCCTACAAAACACCCACGGAGAAGCCCTGGCAGCTCTTCCATCGCACGCCTGAGAGAGAACACGGGTTTGATTATTGAAATACAGACGGCATCGACCCCTGTGCTCGCCCCAGCACCGCCAGCACCAAATAAATCTTCCAACAGCTTCGGCTCCAACCTCACGGCCCGCGAGGTCACCCAGTGTGAGGACAGGGAAAAAAAAAAAAGAAAAAACAAAAAAATGAGAGTTCTTCCTAACAGGAGCTGATCCGTTCTCCACTGATGATCGAGGATGAGCCGTTCTCCAACAGAGACTCCTCCTGCCACACTTTAAGCTCGTTACTCCCCATCTGGAAATTGCCGGGCGCAATTAGAGCCCGCTCGGATGCTCGGGGACATCCCAGAAGGGGCCCCTGGGAATCTGTTCCCTCCGTGCTGCTCCGGAGGGGTTCCTATTTTGGGGAGCAAAACCTGCAGCTGGAGGAGTTTCTCCTTACGAGACAGCCCCTTGGGGACAGGGTCCTTGTCATGCCCGAGAAGAGGCAGCTGCAAAGCTGAGCTTGGTGCATGCCACGGTAAACTGAGCCTAGGCGAAGCTTCAGCTCAGCTAGAAATTAAAAATAAATAAAATAAAGCAATCCTGAGCAGTAATAACGCTGTCCTTCCCCAGAGACCAGCTTCGTTTGGCCTCACCCAGAAGCAAACCCGCAGAAAATCCCGATAACGCAGCAGCCCTCTGGATTCCAGCAGCTGCTGATTTCCTCCGGCTGCTTTTAACCCCACAGAGCGAGGATAACGCCAGGGCACCGTGCCCTTGGTCAGCCCCCAGGTCCCTACTCAGCTGCTGGGGACTTTGGGGACAAACGTGGGCATTTTGGTGACAAAGCCAGCACCAAAAGGGCACGGGCACCACGTCGCCTGCGCCACGAGCAGGGGCTGAGCTTCATCAGCGCGGGAGGAATCACCACGTGGAGGGAGAACAGCCGGAGATTTGCGGTCGGGAGCAGGGAAGGCTTGGGGGGGAGGGATAGGAAGAGGAAAGAGCAGCGTCGGGGTTAGTTACTTGAGAAATATTAATTAATTATCTCCGATTAACAAAGTACTGAAGCCCGGGCCAGAGCAGCGATGCAGAGGGTGTGGAATGTCAGTAAAAAAGTGATTGCATGTTGCTGTGCCCCACGTCCTGCTCGGGATGCTAGGGAGGTTTTGAGGTAGTTAAAAGGGAACAGGGGGCCTCTGAGGCCATGGAAATGCCTGGCACGACCACGCCGCAGAGGGATTCACCTCCCCTTCCCCAACCAGGCCACACCGAGCTGCTCTGTGGCACAGGAGGGGGGAGAATCGAGCTAAAAATCCCCCCCTTTGAGAGGCGCAGTGCCAAGGGAGCATCCCCACCACCACGATCCCATCTGAGCCATGGTTGCTGATCCTCCAGCGGTGCTGGGGAGCATTTCCCAGCACAGCCACGAGCCCGGGGCAGGCGGATCCCACCCAGCCCGGGCACTGACACCCCCGTGGCACTGACCTGGGTTTCTGGGGGCTCTCTTTGGGCTCCTTGGACGCGAACCAGCCGCCGGCCCTGCTCCTCTCATCGCCTGCCGCGGGCGAGCCTCCCGTTTTCTCTCCCTGGCCTCTGCCCCCCGTATCGCTCTTGGTGCCCCCATGGTGGAAGAAGCCCCCTTTGGGTTTTTTCTCGTCCTTCCTCGATTCTTCCAGCTGCTTCTCCTGCCTCGTCTCCGCCGACGACACCATGGGGGCCGCAGCCTGGGTGGGCTTGCTCTCTGAGCGGCCGCTCTCCTCCATCCTGGCTCTGCCCAGGTGGTTGCTGAGGGTCACGGCTTTGGTGGACACCTTCAGCTCTTCCTGAAGCACTAAGCTGGGAGGAGACGGGATGAATCTAGGCTCATCTCTCGGCTGCGTCCTCTCGAAGCCCCCCCAGGGCGTCTCGGGGGGCTCTGGGTGCAGGGGGACGAAGCCAAAACCTTCCTCTGACCTCCTGGGGCCGCCGGGCACGGGCAGGGGCGCGGAGCTGCGTGGGGCAGGCGTGGGGCTGTGCAGGGCGGGCTCGTCGCCGTAAACGTGGCTGCCGTTGATGCAGAGGGAGGAGCGGGACACCGGGTCGCTCTTTGGCTTCAGGTTTTGGATGGTTTTCGGCTCCAGGACCGGGCTGACCTGGGAGACGTCGTCGCTGAAGGCTCTCTTGTGGGTCAGCCTCGGGGACGGCAAGAAGTCCCTCACTGCGGGGGGGGAAAAACATAGAATTGGTGAGGCCCCGTGTAACGGGCACAAAAAGCCTTATCTGCTACTTGAATACTGATGAGATTTGTAAAATTTTGCAGGTTTTTCTCCCTTCCAGGCTCTGCCAGTTACTGGAAACACAAAGCAGGGGTCCCAAGCACGAGGCTGCACAGGCTACACGACACACGCACGCATCACCTCCCCCTCCCGATCCAGACACACGGCTTTGCAAGACAAAACCCTTGTCTGAGACAATCCGAGATCTGCAATAACTGCGAGAAGCCATCCAAAAGCTCCTCCCAGGGCTCGTGCCTCGGTGTGGTTGAAGAGTTTGCCTTGAATTAAAGCCGCCGAGCCCCCGAGCTCCGCGTGGCACGAGTCGGGTCGGTGCAGCGCCGGCTTCTCCCTCCGGCAGCTGCTGCCAAAAGCTCAGCAGACTCCAGAAACTCCCCGAGGAATCGCGTTAGGTGATGCTCAGCCGCTCTGCCCTCCTTGTGTCCCTCACCACGGCACCAGCCCGGTGCTTGAGCTGGCTCCAGCCATGTCCAGGACGTCCCCCAGCACCCCGGGACTCCCACCCCATCCGGGAACTGCCCGTCTCCAGCCCATTAAGCCCTTTAATTACGCTTCATTTTCAAGGGACAGCGAGAATTAATTCACTACAAGGGCCTCGTTTGTTTGCAAATCGCCAAGAGCTGGGATTGCTTTAATCACCCAGTCACTGCTTCGCCCCCAGCCGCCAGCACCTCGTTAGGCAGCGCCGTGCAGCCTCCCTCCTCGAGGGTCACTGCCACGAGCTGGTGTTTGTGACCAGTTTTGGGGTGTCAAGGGAGAAACAGCCCCACACAACCCCTGCAACCTGTTGCCTATAGGGTTGGTGGCACGCGGGCTCGTGGCGTGCACACAGCAGCGCAAACCAGCCCCGGAGCACGGCTGTCTGCACACAGGCTTGGCATTAAAAGCAAAAATTTGGGTGTTTTCCCCCATTCTAGCAAGCACGGAGAAGGTCTCGGGGGGGCTTGTGCGGGACGCTGCTCCTTAGGGAAGGAATTAGCGACCAGGTTTGCAGCAACAAAGAAAAGGGGAAAAAAAAGGCTGGGAGGGGGATTTAAAGCCCTGATCCTCTTACCAGAGCGCTCCGTGGACAGGCTGCTGTGTCTGCTGGGGGATTTGGTTCCCTCGTTTGCAGCCGGGCCCAGGCTGGCCGAGGAGATGGTGCTGTCGGAGCCCAGCGAGGTGTTGGACTGCGTCAGGGAGGATTTGCGCAGCTTGCTCTTCAGGAACCCTTTAATTTTGGACTTCTTGGCCCCGACGTCGAAGTCATCCTCCACGTCGAGGGCGCCCACGCTGCTGGGGATGATGGCAGAGGCCGACTCCAGGTCGTATTTCTTCTTGCCTTTCATCTTGTCCTTCAGCTTGCCGAAGGGCGAGCGCGGTTTGTCCTTGGCGGACAGGTCGAACATGCTGGCCGTCAGGCTGCTGCGCGTGAACTGCACGCTCACTTCCACCTCGCCCCGCTCCTTCTCCTTCTTCCCAGCCTTGGAGTGGAGCTTGTGCCACCTGGGGATGAGGAGAGAAGGAAAGGAAAAGGGTTTCCATCATTTCCCAGTGCTGCAAACCCCAGCACGGGGGGGTTGTAGGGCAGCAGAGCCCACACCGACACCAGGCACCCCGTGCGTCTCAGGGGGATGTGACCAGTGCCCGAGTCCTCCTCTGTCAGCTGGGAGGTTGCTACGAGCCCATATTTTAAAAAAAAAAGACAGTTTTATGCCTGCTTTTTGGTGCGTAAAGGCAGTGACTCAGAACAAATCCTTCTGTTCGGGGTCGGTGCTGACACCGTGTTACTCCAGGGGTCAGTGATGGAGGGTGCAACACACCCAGACGTCTGTTGGTTTATATATAAAATATTTATATTTCTGTAATGGCCCCCAATGCCCCAATCCTGCAGAAATTCCACCAGAAATGAGGCAGCCAGAAGCCCAAAGTGGAGCCAGGAGGCTTGTACCCATCTCACGGGCTGATCTCCGCACCCAGGGCATCCCCCGTGTGCCCCGAGGCCATGAGAAGTGGGGCAGGGACCCGATAACACCCCCGCCACTTATCACACGGCTGCAGGAAGGCAACGAGATCGGGTCGGCCCCGGGTTTGTCCCCACAAAGATTTCCTCCCAAACCACCCCAGGCAGAGGAGGGTGAGACGGTTGTGGCTTTGCTGGCCCCAAAACCCAGCCCCGGGGATTTGCAGGGTCCTCCAGGAGCTGGAAGGAATCTCTAAGAGGTGCGTTGAGCCCGTCCTAGCGACTTCCCAGCAGCTGAAAATCCCCGCCGAGTTTTCCATCCTCGGTGTTGACTGGAAAGGAAAAGCCAGGGCAGGAAAATGTGAAGCCACGGGGACGGGCGGGACCCTGCTGAAATCACCGGGGTTGAGGAGGAAATTCAAAGCACGGCCCCGAGAAGTTCCTGAATTCCCAAATCAGGAGGCAGCGAGGAGCACCAGCACTTCACGGGCTGAAATCCTCCCTGAGCCCAAAGCTCTGCCCCAAAGCTCACCCCTTCCACCCCCACAAAATGCCAGATTTAAGGTTTTCAGCACCGAAAGCTGAGGCTTGGGAACAGCCAGGGCTGCAGGAAAACGCACGGAGCCTGCAGCCAAACCTGGGAGAGGTTTGTGGGGGGGGGATGAGTGATGTGAGGCTGACTCATCGGACGGGAAACATCCCGAGAGGCATTTTTATACCTTACATCACCCCGTGGAAAAAAAAAATAAAGGAGCGAGAGAGAAAATCTGGGTGGGTGAAGGCGAGGAGAAGCGAGGATGAGATGAAACAGCCTGAGAAGCCCTGCGCCGCATCCCCCGTGCGTCCCTTTTAATGCTGCAGTCATTAAACCTCATTTGGGTGCTCGCCGGCGACGCCTTTAAAAGAACAAGCCTTAAACCTGCTTCAAAAATAAAAAAAAAAAAAGCCATCAGCTCAAGGAAAACCTCTGCTTACACTGGCACAGGACCACGGAGCTATTTTGGGCTCCCGAGAGCCAACCAGCAGCTGGTCGGGAACGCGCCTCGGCGAGGGCGAAGCGGCATTTTGGGGCAGGGCTCTCAGTGAGTGGCACCCGCTGAGCCTCTGGGAGGATCAAATCCTTCCACATCGAGGTTATTTTGGGTTTTTAATCCTCCCAAAAGCCTGTCTGTACCTAAAAGGGGCTGACAGAGGGCTGGAGAGGCACACTCAGCACCCCAGCCTGCTCCTTCCCTCGTGCCCTGCGCCTGGGTACGAGTCCCCCGGACCCACGGAGCGCATTTCCCCCTCGGGTGGCGCAGGGGAAGGGCCCAGCAGAGGAAACCACAAATGGAGAACTGGCTCCCTGCAGATGCCCCAAAAAGGGGAAGCAGCTGGGGGCCCCGTGGAGCTCTCCGGATGCACGAGGTTCCCTCCTCCTGCTCCGGGATCGCCGTGCGCTCATGTAGGTCAGCGCGCTGCTGCGGCACAGCCAGAAACCTTCCCCGTGCCGAGGCTCCTCTCTCTCCTCTCTCTTTCTCTCTCCTCCCACTCACCTCCACCAAGGAGAGAAACGAGAGGCAAAAAGGAGAGCGGGGAGGATCGGGGAGGAGAGCCCGGCGGCTCTTTGCTGCCGCTGGGATCGATCGGAGCCGAGCGGGAGGCGCGGAGAGGAGCGCGCTGCCCCCGAAAGGCACGAGCTCCCCCCCAGCAGCCTCCTGGCTCGGAAAGTGCTGAGCAAAGGGGAAAAAAAAAAAAAAAAAAAAAAATAAAAGAACAAACTCCTGGCGTGGAAAGGGAGCGGAGGAGCTGGTGGTGAAGGGGGGCAGGCGGCCACACCGAGGATGCTGCGCTCAGGGTCAGCGCCTGGCCCATGCCCTCCCCGCTCCTGTAAATGAGTGACCCGGATAAAAGGAGCTGGAAGCAGTGGGGCACAGAGCAGCATTTCCCTCCTCACAGCCAGCAGATAAATGTCACACGAAGCCTGCTGTCCCCACAGCTGGGGAAGCTCCATCAGGCCACGGGTGACCGCTTACAGGCGGCACGGGGAGCACCCAGTGAGGGTGGCGCTCCTAAAAACGCCTCGTTGGGTACCCAAACCCGAGGGGGAAGGAGCTCGGGCGCTCCCAAATCCATCAGGGAGAAAATGAGTTTGGGTTTGAGAGGTACCTGTCTGCATCGGGCTGTTCCCCAGCTGCCAAGATGGCTTGGGGGGCACGGAGCCAAGCCTTAATGGAAATAATCACGCAGGGGGGATCCCAGGGGAGACCAAGCCCAGGTTTCCCGTCCCTCGTCCCTTCCACGACTCCTTCAGCACCACACCAGCAGCTTGGCCATCCCAAATTCCTGATCTGAGAGCCCTTCCACACACCCCAGGTACCTTCAGCAGTGGTGTCCCAGTCTCACTGCCGGACTGGTCCCAGCAGCAGGTTCCTCAGAGCCTCCTTGGGTGGCCAAATCACTCGGAGACCTCACGTTTGGGGACGCAGGCAGGGAAGGAGGCACAGACAGGGCGTTCCTGCAGCTCTCCAGCAGCCTGCCTCCTCCCCAAAGCTCATTTGGGGTGGACGGGGTGGCTGAGGTTGGCCTCGAAGCGATTCGAGGTGCTCCTGCCCCGCAGGGCTCGGCTGCCTGAGCTGTAGGATGGAGCCAGACAGCCCAGCACGGAGCCAGAGCCTCGTCCCCGGCCGCACCAGCCCATCATTTACTGCTGAATCATCCCTGCACCAAGGTCAGCCCTGCTGCCAGAGGAGCCCCACGTCTTTAATTAGCGACAGAGACAGGGCTGGGGGCACCCCAGAGCCCTGTAGGGCTGGGGGGCAGAAGGGGAGATCCAGGGGAAAACCCCAAACACCTGCAGAAAGGGCACGGCTCCTTCTCCCGAGGGCCCGCGGGGAGGAAGCTCGCGGGGCCCAGAGGGGAAGCAGAGGGTGGGAAACGACCCAGGGAATTTGGGCTCCCCGCCTGGGTCTGTGTTTTCGACGCAGCTTCCCCCAGGGGCGCAGGGAAACTTTTTGCTGGGTAGGTTTGTTCCCTCTTGGTTTGTTCCCTCTTGGTTTGTCTCGTGTTGGTTTTTTGGTGGCCACTTTTGCGAGGTGATCCCCGGGAGCGCAGATGGAAAACAAACCCAAACAAACCCAAACCAATCCCCCCCGTGGATGGGGGAAGGCAGGGGACGTCCATCTCTCCAGGCGTTCCTCCGAGAGCTCAGAAAGAAGCTGCAGCAAACTGCTGGGCAGGTAATTAGGCACGCTAACGAGGCGACTCTGCCCTGCTCCTCCTGTGGGTCCGGCTCCAACAAGCCCAGCCCGGCATGCAACCCCAGCACGAGGTCTGTCCCAGCCAGCTCCTGAGCATCCTCACCACCTCCCCTTGGTTTTGGGGTTTCTGAGGTGGCCCCAAATCCATTCCTGCCACGTTCAGGAGCGGGACAGAGAGCAGGGATGGACAGGAGGTTATCAGCAGCACCAGCATGGGAGCAACCAGGCACAACCCAAAACACACCAATTTATGCTGAAAAACTCAGAGACTTCCCCCAGCCCGGCGCGGGCTGGGCAGGGAGGAAGAGGAGGGGAAGGAAGATTGAAGGAGCCGTAAAAAGGAGCGTGAAACATTTATGAATGGAGAGGAGAGGGTGATAGCTGCAGGCAGCAAGCGGGCTCCGCAGCTAAATTTATCTGCGTACGCTCCGGAGCTTCCAAGGTTTGCATCCTCCCTGCCTGCAGACGCCCCGAAAAGCCAGGCAGGAGGGATTAGGACCGCTCTGCTGGCCCCAAAAACACCAAAGAGAGGAAAAAAAAAAGAGACCGGAGATGATTCTGCGGGATCCCAAAGCGAGGAGCTGCTGGGCAGGCTCCCCCGGTGCACCTGCAGATTCTGGGGCACGGAGAAGGAGGTGGAAATGAAGGCAGGGTGGGCAGGAGCAGCTCGTTTTTCCTGTAAACCCACGGGGAAGGGCTCACAGAACCAAGCACCCGGAGGCACGAGGCTCAGAACAACCTGCAGGAGCAAAGGCTGGGAGAAAACCCAAACCCTGAGCCCTTGCCGAGCCCCGAGCTGCAAAGCCCTGGCCAAGGAAGCCGATCCTCACGGCCACGGATGGTGCACGGAGCACCCCGAGCTGAGTTTCATCCTGCCCCTGCCCGCGGGGTTTCGACACAGCACAGCATTTCCTGGCCGGGCCACGCCGTGGGGATGCAATGACCCCTGGGGGCTGCCTTTCCAGCCCCAAAAGGAGGATTTCGTCACAGCCCACAGCATCCGAGGTGCTCCCCATCGCTCTCAGCCACCCCCAAGAACCCAATTCAACATTTTTCACCTCCTGAACCCTGCTCGAAGGGCTCAGCCACCAGCTTGGGAAGGCCCAACAGCCAGCCAGGGAGCCCCGCAGGGATTTGGGGACCATCCCTTCGTCCCAAGGATGCTCCTCACCCCTCCAAGGTCCACGGCTGACTTTGCACCACGGCTCCGGGCAGGGATGGAGCAAGGATGCTAACGGGACCTGGCGCTGTAAAACCCTGAATTTTGCTCTTTGACACCCCCAGCATCCACGTGTTTCCACACCAGCAGGGCTCCGTCCTTACCCCTGACACAAAAACCCGCCACGGCGATCAACACAGGGGAAAAAAAAGCTCTGGGATGGGCCCTGTTGACCAAGAGGGTTAAAAATAAAAGCACAAGTCAGAAGTGAGGAACGATGCTCCACACCACGGCTGTGCCGCCAGCCCTGAGCCGTGGAGCCTGGTTTAAGCCCTGGGATACCCAAAAAGGCCACGGGAGCCCTGGGGCTGCTCCTGGGCGGCTCCAGGAGCGGATTTTTCCCCCAGACACAACAGAGACGTTCAGAGCTCAACCAGGCAGCTCCTAAATGCCACCGGACGCCGGCCCCGCTCCAGGCCACGGGTCCAAGTTTGACGGCACTTTTTCCATCGGGCTGAAAACAAGGAGAAAAAAAATAAAATAAAAATCACCACCGGGAAAGTTTCCGCCCAACAAAACTCAGCAGCGAAACGAGAGCAAGGTCAACACGCTGACAATCAAGGCCTGTTTTGGTTTGTTGTGTTTTGTTTTTTTATTTTTTTCCTCCTCGTTTTTGGGACCTTTTCAAGCCCGCAGCAGTTTCGTGCCTCGGAGCAAGGGCTGCAGATGGGATCCTAAAACTAAAGGGGCACCGAGGGAGCTCCCCGTGCCTCAAATGAGGCAGAAAAAGGGGAAATGTGCAGGGGACGAGGGGCAGGAGCAGGGCTCAGCCCCACAGCGTTCACCATCACAGTAACACCAGCCCCCTCCCTGCCGCTTCCCCACCTTGTCCCCACCAGGGTTATCTGCATGGCACAGCCTGTGTGTGGAGGTGGGGAGCCTGGGCTCATTTTGCCCTTTTTTCTTTTTTTTTTTAAAGCTAAAAACTTCCTCCTAAACAAGCTGTTGGTGACGGGGCTGGGTGAGGTGTCACAAGTTGGTTCCCCCCTGTGAAAAACACGCAGCAGCCTGCAAACCATCCGCCTTACAGCGAGGCCGACAGCAGAGAGATATTTTTAGTAATATTTGCCCAAAACCCAAACGTTTTCGATGTCCAAGCTCCGCTTTGGGGGGGGGGTTAACGTGAATGGAGATGCCATGGGTGCGGCCTGAGAGCCCCCCCAATGTTTCCTATGCTCGCCCCCATCCCGGAGGCCCCGGGTGAAGCTAAAAAAGCCTCGAGAGCTCCTGCGAGGGGAAGTCGGTTCTCCTGATGCAAGCAGAGCTACAGGAAGGGAGGGAGACAAACAGCAAAAAATAAAAATAAATAAAAAACCCAGGGCACCCCCAGCCCTGCGCCTCAAGGCCTCGCACCCCAAGGCCCACAGGGTCTGGCCGGGGCGGACATTGCCCCATAGAGCAGCGGTCCCTGATGCCCAGACCTTTGCCACAAGCCCTATAAACCCTTCTGGGATTGCCACAGACCCCTTGAAACCCTCTTGGGATCGCCACAGACCCCATAAACCCTGCTGGGACCGCCACAGGCCCCTCTCCTCACAGGGCCGCAGCGCTGGTTTGAATTAGGGCCGAGCTGAGGGAGCCAGGCCCGGCTTCTCCCCGACGCCGCCAGCGAATAAAAGCAAAATAAAGGCAAATTGTCCCGTTTTCTCCCATTTTAGGGCTAGCTAGGGTGGGTTTCAGACACACACGAGCAGCAGGAAAGCGCTCACGACCCCATTGCACGCTCGGTGCCCTCCCGGCCGAATTCCTCGGGTTTGGGGGCACGGAGGAGCCGGGTGTGCGTGGGGCCAGGCTCAGAAAGTTCCTTCCCCGAAGGAATTTCATCCGCATTCCTGCCTCCCCGCTGCCTGGCAGAAAGCTGGGGAACGCCGGGCTGTTTTTAAACCCTTCTGGGAGGAGGAGGAGGAGGAGGAGGAAGGACGGCGAGTCCTCCCCCCGCAGGGGGATCCCTGCTGGAGGCAGCGCCTAATGGGGCTGGGAGCAGGACCACGGGATTGGAACTGCACTGGGACAAACTGGGACATGGCTGTGAGATGTGGCAACCCAATTCCCAGGGGAGGAGGGATCCTGGGGTATTTGCAGCCCTGGGACTCCGTTTGGGGTGATGTGGGGAGCCCTGGGACTCCTTGTCCCCTATGAAATCCTTCTGGGTGCTCCCATGGACCCCATAACACCTCATTAACTTCAATCCCCTTTTGGGGCACACAGGGACCCCATAGCACCCTATGCCCTGTGATGGCCCTCTGGGGGGCTCACATGGACCCTATGACACCCCACCTCCTGCAATCCCCCTTTTGGGGGCACACGCAAACCCTGTGACACCCTACCCCCTGTGACACCTTTTGAGGGTCACACATGGGCCTGGTGACACCTCATTAACTGCAATCACATTTTGGGGGCACACACAGACCCTATGACACCCTACTCCCTGCAACACCTTTCCAGGGCCATGCATGAACCCTGCAATCCCTCATTGCCCGCAATCCCCATTTTGGGGACACACATGGACCCCACAACCCCTCATTGCCTGCAGTCCCTTTTTGGGGACACACAGGGACCCGGTGAAACCTCACCCTGCAAACCACTTTTGGGGGCATGTGCAGACCCTGTGACACCCCATTGCCTCTACCCCCCATTTTGGGACCCACACGGACCTGGCCACCCCCCCGTGTCTCCCACCCCCATTTTGGGGCCAACACACACCCAGTAACCCCCCCTTACCTCCCACTCCCATTTTAGACCCCACATCCCCCCTACACACTCAGGACTCACCCAGGCCCCCTCCACCCCCCTATCCAACCCCCTTGGGGGGTGGGTGACCCTACCCAAACCCTCCAACACCCCAACCCCCCCCCACCTTAGGGTGCCCCCCCCATCTCCCCCACTCACCCCAGCTCCACGCTCGCTCGTGGGGGGGCCGGGCAGGGCAGTGCCAGGCTGCAGCGCCCCAGGAAGCGGTCGGCACCCAGCAGGGCTCTCTGCAGCACGGTGATGGTGAGGATGGGGGGCGAGCCGGACTCGGGGGGCAGCTCCAGGGCGCAGCCCTCCTCCTGCCACTCGGCGCTGCCCCCGCTCCGCTCCGCCACGGCCGTGCGGTGCCGCTGCCGGCCCAGCTCCAGCACGGCGTACACATCGCCGGGCCCCGCTGCTGGGCTGCTATTGCTGCTGCTGCTGGTGGTGGTGCTGCTGCTTCCCCCGGTGCTGCCACCGCCCTTGCAGCGCAGCCCCCGGGCCCGCACCGCCGTCACCTGGACGTGGGTGGGCAGCCAGCAGGGTGCAGGCTCGGTGGGTAAAGGGGCGGCTCGCAGCAGGGCCATGGCCGGCTCAGTTGGGCTCGGTTGGGCTCGGGATAACGCGACCCGGCTCGCCCCAGCCGGGCCCCGAGCCCCCCCCAGCCCCCCGCTGCTGCTGCCGCAGCCGGGCCGCAGCGGGAGCCGCCCTGAGCCCCGCCCCAAGCCCCGCCCATGCCAATTAAGCGCGCTCGGGAACCCCGAGGCCACGCCCACATGGACAAACACACCCCCATTCACCCCTAAGCCACGCCCATTCATCCTTAAGTCACGCCCATATCGCCAAAATAATGTTCATTCATCCCTAAGCCACGCCCATTCATCCCTAAGCCACGCCCATTCATCACTAAGCCACGCCCATTCATCACTAAGCCACGCCCATTCACCCCTAAGCCACGCCCATTCATCACTAAGCCACGCCCATTCATCCATAAGCCATGCCTATTCGTCCCCAAACCACGCCCATTCACCCCCTAAGCCACGCCCACTCACCATAAACCACGCCCATCCTTGCCCAAGCCACGCCCACATCGTACAAGCCACGCCCCCGTGTCACCCATTCACTCAAACCACGCCCACTCCCCATAAGCCACGCCCACACCGCCCTCACCCATTCACCCCCTAAACCACGCCCATTCATGCCCAAAGCCACGCCCACACACCCCTAAGCCACGCCCATTTCCCCATAGGCCACGCCCACAGCACCAAGCCCATGCCCGTTCACCCCAAGCCCCACACTGCACCCCGGGGCTGCTGCTGGCAGCGTTCACCCTGCTCGTGCCTGCTGCATGGTGTGCGTGTGTGCATGCACATGTGTGTGTGTGTGTGCACGTGTGTGCATGCACAGGCATGTGTGGGCATGCAGCTGCTTGCGTGTGCACGTCTGTGCGTGCACGGCCATGGGCACGCATGTGGGAGCATGTGTGAGCATGCACCTGCTTGTGTGTGCATGCATGGGCATGGGTGTGCATGTGTATGCATGCACGTGTGTGTGCATGCATGGATGTGTGTGCATGTGTGGGCACAGGGGTGTGTGTGAATGCACTGGCGTGTGTGAGCATGCACCTGCTTGTGTGTGCACTCGTGGGCATGTACAGGAATGGGCATGCACGTGTGTGCATGCACGTGTCTGCATTCATGGCTATGTGTGGCTATGCATATGCATTTGTGTGTGTGCATGCATGGGCGTGTGTGCTTGTGTGTGCATGCACAGGTGTGTGTGAGCGTGTACCTGCTTGCATTTGCACGTGTGTGCTTGCACAGGAATGGGTGTGCATGCACAGCCATGTGTGTGTGTGTGCACCTGCTTGTGTGTGCGTGCACATGCATGTGTGTGCATGCGTTGGCATGAATAGGCAAGCGTGTTCAGGCACTTGCTTGTGTGAGCATGCATCTGCTTGTCTGTGTGCACACATGCACATTTGTGCATGCATGGACACGTGTGAGCATGCAGTTTCTTGCACTAGCTTGCACCTGCTTGTGTGTGCATACACATCTGTGTTTGTGCATGCACATACAAGTGTGTGCACGCACGTGCAAGTGTGTGCATGCACGTACAAGTGTGTGCACACATAGGCATGCCCGTTAATGCCTGTGCATGCACTTGCTTGCGCGAGCATGCACCGTTTGCAGCAGGAGCACCCCAAAACCCCGCACCCAGCAGAGGGAGCAGTGCAAAACCTCCGCAGCTCCGTGCCCTTGGACGCAGCCCCGGTGGCAGCAGCACCCGGTGGCCACCATGCCCTGCACCGTGTCCCTATTTCCTGCAAACACCCGGAGCTGTTTCCCACGCAGCGAACGGGACAGCGCGCCCAGCCCCAATCCTAATCAGCAATTAAAAACCTCCCCGGCGAGCCTAATAACCTCACCGCACGGCAAAATCCGCCTCTCCCCGGGCCCCTCAAGCAAGGTCACGCCAAAAAACCCTGCCGGGGCTGGCGCACCGTGCTGGTCGGGGTTTTGGGGGTTTTATCTCGGGGCGATCGCAGCCCCTCAGGGCCAGGGCACCGATGGCACCGAGATAAGGCTGGCGGCGGTGGCACGGGTCAGCGGGACGGGGACGGGGGCCCTGCTCTATCGGCCCCATCGCCGTTCCGCTCGGCCACATCCCCCCCTCTCCTCGCACTCATTTTTCTCCCTGCCCTGGCCCCCATGCAAATTTCCCACTAAAATATGCTCGAAACAGGGACAACAACAAAAAAAAAAATAGATTTTTTTTTTCTTTTCCCTTTTTCAGGGAATTTCTTATCGCCGCCGAGACGAACCAAAATCCAATTATACCTCCGGTGCCCGGCCCCACTCCGCCGCCGCCTCTTATCCCTGCGCAGCATCTGCCTTTTATTTTTCCTTCTTTTGATTGTTTTTCCCCTCTTTTTTGCCCCCCTCCCGCTGATTATCTCTCCCCTCCGCTGTCATTGCCCTGTAATTGTGTTTGTGCCCCCCCCCCAAACCCCTGCCCTGCCCGATTTGTAGCTCTCGTTTATTCATCTTTAAATAATAATAATTAAAAAAAATCCTGCTGCCTTCAAATTTGGGGCATAAAGAGGTTTTTAATTACCCCTGAATCGGTGTTTTTTTTTTTTTAATTATTATTATTCCATCCCCTGAGCTGGGAAAGCTGCTGGGAAAAGGGGGGTGATGGGGGATGCTCACCCCATGGGGACACCGGGGTCACCACGTGGGGTGTCCCCACTGCAGGGGGGCAAAAAAATTGCATTTAGGTGAATTAAATTAATTAATCCGTCCTGGGATTAATGGGGGCGAGAGGTGTGTTGGGGAGGACCCCAAATCTCCATCCAGGGGCGGGGAGCACCCCAAATCCCCTGCCCACGGGTGCGCATCCCTCCCATAGCCCTGCTGCCCTGGAAATCACACCCAAACTGCCCCAAATTTTGGGGACAGATGGCCAGGGCACCCCGCAGACCCCTATGGGGCCAAATTTTGGGGACACTGCAAAGTGCCCCCTGTTATAGGGCCGCAAATAAAAGTCCCCGCTCGCAAAACCCGGCTGCAAAAAGCCCCCCGGGGCATGGGGACGGGGGGGGGGGGGGCTGGAGCTAAGACAAATAAAGAGTTCAAATGGGGAACGATTAAAAATAAAATAAAATAAAATAAATCGAAAGCGGGGGAGATAAGGCGCGGGCGCCCTCGCTCCCTATTTAACATTCATTGGATTGAATAATCAGGCCTCATTATCTCAAATTGTCTGCATATTTGCCCTCAAAATGCTAATTTGAAAGTTGGCTGCGAGCGCCGTCTGCCTTTTTTGACTAAAATATGATTTTGCTGCATTGTGCATTGTTCGTAGCTCCGGGGGCATTTCCAGTTTCGAACCGAAAGGGGGGGAAAAAAAATATTAAAAAAAAAAAAAAAAAAGAGAGAAAAAAAAAATAAGAGAGAAAAAAAAAAACTATCAAAGGCTGGCAGGGAGGGGACCTGGAGGGCCCCGCGCCGCCTGGAAATGGCATTTCCAGGCCTGCGAGGGAAATTCGAGGCGTTATCGGGGCCGGGAGGGGATGGAGGGTTTATCGTTAATCTGGGGAAGGGAAATGGGAGAAATAATTCCCTTTGATTATTCTGGTTTTGCGGCGCGGCACGGCTGGGGTTGACCTTTCCGGAGCCGCTGCTGCCTCCGTGTCCTCGTCCCCCATGCAGGGGGTTCTCCGCCGCATCCCAAAAGACAAGACCCAAAAAACCACGGGGCTGACCCCAAAACCCTTCAGCGGTCCCCAAAACCTCCCGAAGGACCCCAAAACATTCACAGTGGGAGGGGAAACGGGGAGCGAGAGGCGCAATCTCCTTCCATCGCTCCCCTTCCCACCGGTTAATCAATAGCTCATCATGCGGGACCGGAGCCGAAAACCCCGTTCTCGGCCGAGGATTAGGGTGGGAGAAGGGCAAACGTCCTCGCAGCCGCCTCAATCCCCCGTTAGCGATGCCGCCCTTCGCCCGCCGGCTTACCCGCACCCCGGGGACGCGCCGCCGCCGAGCGCAGCGGGGGATTAGCAGGGGGCCGCGGGGCCGGGGCGCTCGCTCGCCCTTGTGTTGACAAAAGGACGGGGACAAAAATCCCTCGCCATCAATTCCAGAAGCGCCTCCGGGGCCGGCAGTGACCCCGCTTTTGACTTTCCGGGCAGATGGAGCGGGTGGGAAGCAGCCCTTCGTCTTTTGGGGTCATGGCACAGAGGGGACCCCAATGCGTAAAGACCCCAACAGGGAATAAGCAGCAGGATCCCAAGTGTCTCGCACCGCTTTTTGCCCCAATATCCCATAACCCACAGGTTAGAGGCGCCCCGCCACCAGCTCATGGTCCCGAATTGATGTCACCCCACAAGGATGTGCCCCTTTTTAGGGCTGGTTGGGGTTTTTGTGGAGCCGGCTGCAGCTCTGGTGCTATCCTGGCTAGTGACGGGCTCAATTTGGCCACCGTGGGGGCTGCCAACGTGTGGGGTGCTGTGGGCACTGTCCCCATAAGGTTTGTGAGCTTAGGGTGGGCTATGGGGCCATTTCCAGCCCCAGGCAGGGGGCAGAATCCCTATTTGTGCCCCTAAAGCAGCCACGCTGGGGGACAGCACCCCTGGGTGCCCCAACCACCCTTCTCGGGTCACCCTTGGGTTGCTGTGGTGTGCGGGGTGGCACCCACCACTGGGACCCCCTCTAGCCAGGCAGTGTCCTGGGAGAAAATACCTGGCCTTGGGGTGTCCCACCCCATTGTGTCCCACCCCATTGTGTCCCATCCTGGTGTGTCCCATCCCATTTTGTCCCATCCCATTTTGTCCCATCCCAGTATGTCCCATCCCATCGTGTCCTGTTTTTGTGCGTCCCATCCAAGTTTATCCCATCCTGGTGCGTCCCATCCTGGGGTGTCCCATCCCATTGTGTCCCATCCCATCGTGTCCCATTCTGGTGTGTCCCATCCTAAAGTCCCATCCCAGTATGTCCCATCCTGGTGTGTCCCAGCCCTGCTGGGTGTCCCCCCCCCCCCCCCGTGTCGCCCCTTGTCGCCGCCCGGTGTCGCAGCGCGGTGTCGCAGTGGCCTCTGGCGGACAGTGGGGGAACGGCCCCGGCCCTACTGCGAACTGGGACCCTGCTAACTGGGATCCCCACTAACTGGGATCCCCACTAACTGGGACCCCGCTAACTGGGATGCTCACTAACCAGAATCCCGAACTAACTGGGATCCCCAGTAACTAAGATCCCCACTAACTGGGATGCTCACTCATCAGGATGTTCCCTAACTGGAATCCCACTAATTGGGATGCTCATTAACTGGGATGCCCACTAACTGGGACCCCACTAACCGGGATCCCGCTAACTGGCTTCCTGCAAATGAAGGAGTCTCGTAACTGGGATGCTTCCTAACTGGGATCCTGATAAATAAGAGGCTGCAAACTGGGATCCCCGGTAACTGGGATCCCCACTTACTGACAGGTGCTAACTGGGATCCCTGTTAACCAAGAGCTTCACTAACTGGGATCCTACTGATTGGGGTTGTGCTAACTGGGACCCCGCTAACTGGGATCCCCACTAACTGGGACCCCGCTAACCGGGATGCTCACTAACCAGGATCCTGAATTAACTGGGATCTCCGGTAACTAAGATCCCCTCTAACTGGGATGCTCACTAATTAGGATGTTCACTAACTGGAACCCCACTAACTGGGACCCCACTAACTGGGACCCCACTGACTGGGATGCCCACTAACTGGGATATCCTTTAAATGGGATGCCCACTAACTGGGATATCCTTTAAATGGGATGCCCACTAACTTATCCTGAGCCACCAACCCCACAAAAGCCCTGAAACACAAATTGAGGGGGATTATGGACAAACGACCCTGATGCCGGGGGCCCCGACACCGTGCCCCGAGCGAAATTCATCTCCCCCATCCATTTCCCCTATTTTAGCCCGGGATGATTTTGCTTGCAGGAACACCTCCCTCTGCCCGGGTTTTTCACCTCCCAGGGCTCCTGGGCGAGGAGACCCCATTGGAACTTTTTTATATTAAAAAAAAAATAAAAAGGTTTTCTTCCCACTTTTAAAATGTCCTGGTTTGGCACCGCAAGCAGAGCTCCTCGGGCACCTGGCGGCAGCGGGCACCCCAACTCTGCTCAGCTTTTTATGGGAATTTCAGCTGCGTTGGTTAAAACACCGCTTTCCCCTAAAAATTGGGGTGTCCCCAGCCCCCAGTAGGGCCACTCCTGATGTCCCCTATCCGGGAGGGGGGTGATGTTGGAGGCCCCGATCCCAATGGGCAGACGGGGCAATCCACACCGTGCCCAGACAGCGGGGTTTGGGCTAATGACCTGCATTGATATTAATTAGCTCAGGAGCTTCCCCCCCATCCCACAGCGGGGCCTTGGGGCTTAGGATCAGCCAGGTGCAATGCCCGGACCTGCTCACATTCCTGCGTCCAGACCCCATTGAAGGAGGACCCCAAAAAAAGCCCTAAAAACCTCCCCTCCTTCTCTCCGGGGCAGGATTTTCCCAGCTGCCATCCCAAAACCCTGCAGTGTCCCCATTTGGGTCCCTTGTCACCCACATCCCACCCCCACAGATGCTTTTGGGGTCGGGGACCCTCGCTTTTAGGGCCAGGGGGTGTTTGCTCAGTGCCATCCCACAGCTCCGCCAGGAGAGGGAGGAAATAGGGAATAAATAAAAGGGAATAAATAAAAGGGAATCAATAAAGGGGAGAGCAACCCCATACCAAACACGCACCTCGCCGCGGTGCCTTTTTATCTCGGCCCTTTTAAGGCCGTAATTAAGAACTAATAATGCCAAATCTGCCGCCCTTTTATCTCTGCCCCCCCCAGGGCTTTTATTTGCCCCTGGTCACAGGGGTTGTGGGGTGGTGTCTGTGGGGCAAGCTGGGGATCGTGGCTTCACGGTGTGTTTTAGGGTTTTTTCTTATAAAACACCCAGGGAGCCTTCAGCAGCCAGCCCCATACAGAGTTGTGATCCCATACCCATGGTCCCCAACCCCATAAGGAGCCATGATCCCATCCCCAGCCCCATACAGAGCCTTGATCCCATCCCCAGCCCCATATGGAGCCGTAATCCCATCCCCATGGTCCCCAACCCCATACAGAGCCGTGATCCCATCCTCAGCCCTATACAGAGCCGTGAACACCAAGCAAAGGGTGGGGGTCTCAGAACACCCCACAGATGTAGGGTCCTGGCCCCACAGCTCCCCCCGCACCCCATTTCCTCCCCAATAAACCCAGTGGCGTCCTTTGACTGGGACCAGCTCCCCCGCTGGGCTGGGCCCGAGGTGTGACTTTTCCCAGCTCATTAGGGAAAGCCGCTGGGGTTTAAGGATCGCAGGCCCTAATGACCATCTGAATCCCATCAGCGGGGCCCTGCCGGGATTGGGGGGGGGATTTGGGGGGGCACCCACCTCTGCCACCGCATGCCCGGGGGTCCCCGGTTGTGTCCCTTCACCTGGAGGGTCTGGGCATGGCTGTGCCCACCCCAAAAAAAAAAAAAGGGGGTGCAGACAGCTGGGTGGTATGAGGATGCCGAGGGGGTGGCCAAAATTTCCCATATATACACCTCGAGTGTCCCAGGGGGCAGCTCTGGTGGATTTGGGGTGTCCCCCCCCAAAAAAAACCCTCCGCATCCCAAAGCGGGGCAAAGGGGGCACAAACCCAGTGGGGGCGGCCTCAGGGGGGTGTCCCGGGGCGGTCCCATCCCATCCCATCCCTTTGCAGCCCACCCATCCCGTCCCACCCCATCCCCTACCCCCCCGGCCCTATAAAGGTTGGCGGTGCAGCACCAGCAGCCCCCGCCATGCCGCCCCCAACCCCATCGCCCCCCTCCCAGCCTGGCCAGGCTTTCACCATCGCAGCCCTACTGGGACGAGCCTCACCCCCCCTGACCCCAAACCCAACCCCGACCCCAAACCCGCTTTTACCTCCCTGGGGACCCCTCCGGGACCCCATCCCCGACCCCACAACCCCTCCCCGGCCGCTCTGCGCCGCCTGCTGCGGACCCCCCCCAGCCTGGGCAGCTCGCCTGGGTGCCACAGGTAGGGTCTGACACCCCCCCCATGTTGGGGGAGCTGTGGGGTGGCTGTGGGGGGTCCCCAAATTTCCACCTCCTTCCTCATCCCTTTGGGGACCCCTGCCCGCATTCCGCTTTGGGGTCGTTTCTTTTTGGGGGGAGCTCCTTTTTTCTCTTCTAGGGGTGTTGAGGAGGAATTGGGGTGCGAGGAGATCCTGTAAAAATAGGGGGCGGGTGAGAAGATCCCCTAAAAAATGGGGGAGGGTGAGAAGATCCCCTAAAAATGGGGGAGGGCTGAGAAGATCCCCTAAAAAATGGGGGGGGGACACATTTGGAGAGACCCCTTTCTGCTCCTATATGGAGAGACCCCCTTGGGGAGCTCCCCTTCTGCCTCCCATGGCATCCCCTCGCTCCTAGGGGGGAACCCTGCAGGATTCCTCCCCCCTGCCCTAAAAAAAAACCCAAAACCCCATTCCTTAACCTTTCCGACCCCTTTCCCAGGCTTCCTCCTCTCCAAGTGCTGCTTGCCCATCCTCAAGGCCAAGGCCAAGCGGGTGCGGACCACCTTCAGCAGCGAGCAGCTGGCCCGGCTGGAGCAGGAGTTTGCGCGGCAGCAATACCTGGTGGGCGCCCAGCGGGGGCTGCTCGCCTCCACCCTACACCTCACCGAGGAGCAGGTAATAGGGCCGGGCTCTAACAGACCCTAAATGTCCTGGATCAGGCTCGTTTGTTGGCCAAAATTGCCGTGGAAAGGGTTTTTGGGGGGTGTGGGGTGGGATGAGGCGCAGCGCGGCTAGCCAGAGGGGTTGGCTTGATGGTGGATTGAAGGATTTGGGGTTTTTTCCCCCCGCTGGAAGGATTTGGCTTTTCGGGGTGGGATCAGCTGCTGGGGAATGGATTTTTGTCACCCCGGGGACAGAGCGTGGCAGGGGATGGCAGTACTGGACAGCCAGGATCTATGTAGGGTCTGGGCACTTGTGGGGAGCTGTATAGGGCCCAGGCACTTGGGGGGAACACTATAGAGCCCAGACACTCAGGGGGAGCTGTGTGGGGCCCAGGCACTCAGGGAAGCCATATAGGGCCCAGGCACTCAGGGGGAGCTGTGTGGGGCCCAGGCACTCAGGGGGAGCTGTGTGGGGCCCAGGCACTCGGGGGGGGGAGCCATATAGAGCTCAGGGGGAGCCATATAGGGCCCAGGTACTCAGGGGGAGCCATATAGAGCTCAGGGGGAGCCATATAGGGCCCAGGTACTCAGGGGGAGCCATATAGGGCTCAGGGGGAGCCGTATAGGGCCCAGGCACTCAGGGGGAGCCATATAGGTCCCAGGTACTCAGGGGGAGCCATATAGGGCTCAGGGGGAGCTGTATAGGGCCCAGGCACTCAGGGGGAGCCATATAGGGCTCAGGGGGAGCCATATAGGTCCCAGGCACTCAGGAGGAGCCATATAGGGCTCAGGGGGAGCTGTATAGGGCCCAGGCACTCAGGGGGAGCCATATAGGTCCCAGGTACTCAGGGGGAGCCATATAGGGCTCAGGGGGAGCTGTATAGGGCCCAGGCACTCAGGGGGAGCCATATAGGGCTCAGGGGGAGCCATATAGGTCCCAGGCACTCAGGAGGAGCCATATAGGGCTCAGGGGGAGCTGTATAGGGCCCAGGCACTCAGGGGGAGCCATATAGGTCCCAGGTACTCAGGGGGAGCCATATAGGGCTCAGGGGGAGCGGTGTGTGGCTCAGGCACTCAGGGGGAACCATATAGGTCCCAGGTACTCAGGGGGAGCCATATAAGTCCCAGGTACTCAGGGGGATCCATATAGGGCCCAGACAATCAGGGGGAGCTGTGTGGGGCCCAGGCACTCAGGGGGAACCATATAGGGCTCAGGGGGAGCTGTATAGGGCCCAGACAATCAGGGGGAGCCATATAGAGCCCGGGTACTCAGGGGGAGCCATATAGGGCTCAGGGGGAGGCCATGCAGGGCCCAGGCACTAGGGGGGAGCTATATAAGGCCCAGGCACTCAGGGGAAGCCATATAGGACTCAGGGGGAGCCATATAGGGCCCAGGCACTCAGGGGAAGCCATATAGGGCTCAGGAGGAGCCATATAGGGCCCAGGCACTCAGGGGAAGCCATATAGGGCTCAGGAGGAGCCATATAGGGCCCGACAATCAGGGGGAGCTGTGTGGGGCCCAAGCACTCGGGGGAAGCCGTATAGAGCTCAGGGGGAGACCATATAGGGCCCGGGCGCTCAGGGGAAGATGTGTAGGGTCCAGGAAGCTGTTTAGGGCCGGGGGGCACTGCTTTTGGCCGCTGGTGCTTGGCGCAGGCAGGTTGGGGCACCGAGCTCCGTCTCCTCCCCAGGTGAAGGTCTGGTTCCAGAACCGCCGCATCAAGTGGAGGAAGCAAAGCCTGGAGCAGCAGCAAGCCAAACTGGCCAGGATGGGCCTGGCCACCCCACAGAGGAGCCCCGACTCACAAAACCCCGGCGGCGAGGAGGATCGGGACTTCCCAGATGGGGCCGAGGACCCCCGGGACCCCACTGCGGCCCCCCTTGCACGGACTGGGGCAAAATGCCCCTGAGATGTCCCCTTAGGGGGGGTTCGTCCCACACGGTGGGAAGAAGCGTGTCGGGTACCCGCCGGGCAGCGGTTATTTTTGCAGGGCGAAAATAAATTATTTATGCGAGGCCGGGGTCGGAGGAGGAAGTGGTTGTGGTTTATGGGGTCCCCCGTAGGGCTGGGAGTCGTTGCCCGGCTGTGGGGTGGGTGGTTAAGCCTTGGCGGGTATAGGGTTTGCATCTGGGGTTGTCTTTGTTGTTGGAATAAGGGGGGGTGTGAATGGGGTTTGTGAGTAGGAGCATGTTCTGGAGGGCCGGGGGCATCCCATACACCCCACCCACTGTCAGACCCCTTACCTGGGTTCGTCCCAAAGGCACCAGGGTGCTCAGATGGCTCTAAAATCGCTCAGGACCTTTGCAGACCCCTTCTGTCCCGCAGTTTGTCTTTCCTGCCAGCAGAGTTCCCTTGTAATGCCCCACTCTGCCTACAGCTCGCATCGAGTGGGGGCTCGGGGCTGCAGCGATGGGATCCTGCTCTCCGCAGGAACCAGGAAAATTGGGGAAAAATGGGGAAAACGATGAGCCAAAGCTGAATCCCCTGCAAGGATGTAAAGGAAGAGACTATCAGAGACATAGGACTTTGTGGAAAAGGGAAATAGGGACCCCAATCCCTGCTAAGGATGGGACCCAGGTAAAGATTTTTTGCTGGCAGGTGAGAAACAGAGAGGAGATGATGCAGGGAGAAGGGGACGACGTGACGGAGGAAGCTGCCCTTTGTTCTGGCCGTTTTTAGGGCCGGGATTAGCCGGCGTGGCTCAAAGAACCCAAACTGTGCTAATGTCTTCACATGTCTGATGGGGCGCGCCGGCGGGTTTGACCCGCTAATCTGGCGTGCCGGTGGGTTTATTGCAATCAGCCCCGAAACAACGGGGCTCACGGGGGTGTTTTAATATCGCCCGGCCGGGGGGCGAGCTGATTGAGAGGGTTAAGTTGTTCTCAGGACACCTTTAATCCCCTGGGAGCTGGTGGTGCTCGGGATCGGGCGGGATCGGGCCATTTGGGGACCCGTCCCCGTGCCAGGCGATGCCCCTGCAGCTCCAGCAGCATCCGACTGGGGAAAGGGCTTTAATTAAAACTAGTGGGCTTGATTGAGTTTTCCAAATGCCCTGAGAGCTTGACGAGGTTTGGGGCTGGATAAAATCACCTGGGAGAGAGCCTTGGGCTCCTTGTGTCCCATTAGGATCCTTCTGCCCTGCAGCCCAGCAGTCCCTTCCCAAACCTGTGCACCGCCCAGCTGTTCTTTCACACATCTGGAAAAAAAATATATATATATGAAAAAAAAAAGGTTGTTTAGCTGGTTTTCAGTCACTGGATTTATTTGCCCCAGGCTCTGCACGGGGACAGAGGGATGGAGGGACGTCGGGGCTGGATGGAGGGGTGGCCGCGGGGGAGATGGACAGAGAGATAGCAGAAGGGATCATCGGGGTGGAGCTGCAGCCCTGCGGCTCCCCGTGCCCCCCGCTGTCCTTCCTGCCAGGATTATTCCTGCTGGGCACATGGCGACGGCCCCGATCTGTTTGTAGGGCCAGGTTTGCTCAGGACACTAGGAGTTAGTGGGGTGCTGGAGATGCCACCAGCAGATCCCTGCGTCCCGGGCGCTTTCCCAGGCACATTTGTGTCACCAGCCCCATTTTCCTCCTCTGGCTGTCCCCTCACCCTCTCTTTTTGCTAAATGGGATTAGTTTGGGCTCTTTGGAAGGGTCGGGGTGCTGGGGCCAGCAGCCTGCCAGCAGCAGAGGCTCGAGTCACGGGGCCGCGGGGTCGGCCGTGCACGTTTCCCGGCTCCGTCTCGTCGTGTAATCTTGTTAAATGGTCAGGGAGCATTTCCCCCGCTTCTCCCTCCCCTTTAATTCCCGATTGAAACATCAAATAAAGCTTCCCGAGGCTGCCAGCAGCTCCACCTGCTCGGGGGAGAGGAAACACCACCACGTCCCACGTTTTGCAGCCTTATGGGGTGAATTCACCCTTTGGTGATGCCTTGGGTCACCTGGCCCTGCTTGGGTGGCACTGACCGAGGGGCTGCATGAAAACAGGGTGAAAATGGGGTGACCTGCCTGGAAACGCAGCTGCAGGGTCCCAAATCTCAGAGTTTAGGGGTCGCAGTCCTAAGGAAACTGGCTGGGTTTGTCATGGGGCAGCTGCTGGCCATCCTCCTGGCCCAGCACCGGAGCAGCTCCCTCCTCTGCTTCGCTCTGCTCCTTGCCACAGGGCTCTCCGAGGAACCTGCCTGGTTCATTTTGGTGAGATGAGTAGCTGGGGAAAAGAGAAAATCAAAAAAAATAAAATAAAAAATTGAAAAAAACTGCACCGTCGGTCATGGGAATGGGTACAGAGCCCCGAGCCTGAGTTCCCCTGCAAGGAGGATCCCGGGACGGTTTTTGGGGACGTTCCCAGGAGGGTTCTGGTGTGGGCAACCCCTCTTTGGCTTTCAGGAGAACAACTTTCTATCCTAATTATTTTGACCCCCCATTTTTCCTTCTGCAGAGCAGAGCTCAGCGCAGGGACCTCTTAAGCAGCTCCTGGGGGCTCCCTGGTGCCAATCTTTGGGGTTTTCTCCCCTTCCCATCCCCTGCTCAGGCAAGGTGACATCCCCACCCTCTGCAAATGGTTCATGGGGAATGGTTTTTTTTATAGGGGCTGATTTTATTATAAAACTCGCTTCCATTCAATCAGGTCCATCCCGATGGGGTGGGATGGAAGAAATAGGGGAAATGTGGGAGATTTGGGACCGGCAGGCGGATGAGGTGCCCCCCGAGCGCCGAAGCATCCCAGCAGGATGCGACCCCCGCGCCTCCCCCATCCTGCCCCCCCCCCCTCTCCCTCTCTCTTGATTTAATAAGATGGAGGGGAATTAACGGGGCCGGAGCATCGGGATAATGCAGGACGAACAAAGGGGCAGCGCTAGCAAAGATGCTGCCAGCTTTTAATGATGAGGCCGGGCAGATCCCCCGCTAGCTGTCCCTTTGGAGAGGCGATTAAGAACATACTGTTATTGTTGAGGCCGAGAGATAAATCCCCGCACCGTTTCTGATGTGATCAGCCGGGGCTTCTCCCTACAATTTGTGATCCTATTGTGGCCGGTGTTTGCCCTGGGCGAGGAGAGTCTGGGAACCACTTATGAACCATCCTTTGGTCATTAGCCTCCTCATTAGGAGAGAACAATGAGGGGGAGAGAAGATAATTGAAGGGAGCAGCGGGCTGATGGCGCGCTCGGGACTGTCCCAGGGCTGCCTCGGTTTCCTAATTCCCAATTAATTCGGAATTTGGGGTTTGGGGATGCTCCTCGCCCCATGGAGAGCTGGTGGGAGCGTTTTGGGGTCCCCCCGACACTCAGCAGCCAGCCTGCTGCACCCCCCAAGGCTCCATCCCACAGCTTTTTGGGGCTGTATCCGGCAATTTTGGGGCAAGATTTACTCTACCCCTCATTTTTTTGGGGGGACAGGACCTGCTGCAGCCCGGTGCCGGAGCACGGGAAGCCCCCGGGGAGAGGCTCGGGGAGAAGCAATTCCTCAGGATGCTTGACATTATCAAGTGCTAATGAGAGCTGGATGGGGCTGAGGTGCTTTGCAGCCCATTACCCCAAATTAACCTGACAATGCCGCCGGGGCCAGCGTCTGCGGGGCCGGCTGGGTTGTGGATTGCCTGTCTGGGGCAGGAGGATGCTGCCCTTTGCCTCCCACCCCCCCATAAAGGAGCATCCCCTTTTTGTAGGATCCGTTTTGGGATGGGGAAGCCACCAGCTCCAGGGGTCCCCCGTTTGGGGTCATTCCCCACCGCCTTTCTGTGAGCATCTCCGTGTCCCCACCCGGGCTGTTTGCTTTTTTTTTGGGATCCTGGAGGGGATCACAGCTGCAAAAATCCAGCACGGGGGTAAAGCTGGCGCTCAGCACCCCTTTTCGAGGCCGATTTTGGGTGTTTTAAAGCAAAAATCACGAGCTCCTCTTCTCCCCACCAAGCTCTGCCCCAGAGGATGCTCGGGGCGATTTTCTCCCCCTCTTGTAGGATTACGAATGCACCGAACCTCGCTCACGTTTTCACATGGGGCTGCTGTGGGTTTGGGGGAAATTTCGCCCACCGGGAAGGCTCGAGGCTCGAGCAGGGTGCCCGGCAGAGGCGAGGTGCGAAATTTCTCATGGGCCAACAAGCGAGAGCGGCGGGGTGCCCGGGAGAAAGGAAAGGGGGGGGGGACAGAAAAAAAAAAAGAAAAAAAAAAACGAGTTGGGAGAGGAGGAGGAGAGAAAGCAGCAGCCGAGGAGAGACAAAAAATCCCCCAAAGCAGCGAGCCGGTTTGAAGAGTGGGGCGTTTTCTATGGGGGGATTGTAAAATGCGCTCTCTCTTTCCCCTTTGCAGGGGGGAACGAGGGCCCCCCCTCTATCTGATAGTCATTAGCATCAATTAGCCCCGTTTGAAGTAGGCAACATCTTTGTCTCTGCGCAAAAAAAGAAATCAAAAAACCTTTCAGGGAGCCCATAATAACATCTGGAGCAAGGAGAGGCTGAGCTCAAGTTCCCCACTTTCATCTCTTGTCGAGGTACTTGGAATGTTAATGCAGCCTCATTCTTTAATGGAGTTATCAGGAAATGCTTTTCACCCCCTTCCCTTTGCTCAGGGGGGATGTTTACAAAGGGCTGGGGGCTTTTATTTTTTTTTTGTCTTGTTGTTGTTTTGTTGTTGGGATTTTTTTCCTGCCTCTCCCCCCCTCTCCTTCCTTCAGGAGCTCCCCCTCCCCTTTGATTTTCTGCGCTCTTGAAAAAAAAAAAAAAAAAAGGGAAAAGGAAAAAAAAAGGAAGAAAACACCCCCAAAATAATAAAAAAAATAATAAATAAAAGGGGAGCAGGGTCTGTCCTTTCATCTCGCCCTACAGAAGGTCCTGAGGATGCGGGGGGGGGGGGGGGGCGGGGAGGCTCAACCTGCTCGGCCTGGCTGCTGGGTGCTACATTTCCCAAGTCGTTACCAGCGGGTGAAAATCTCCAGCTTTTTAAGCGGAATGCATTAGCTGAGCACACAGCCCTAATGGGAGCTCCTTTTTTGGGGTCTGCCCTGCCTCCCCCCCCTCTGCCCATCCCAACACCTGCAGGGCAGAAACGTCGACGGCCGCCGCCTCTCTCCTCTCTCTTCCCATGGGGAGCAAAATTGTGGCACTCCTGAGTCCCTAAAAGGAGAAAAAATAATAATAATTTAAAAAATAATAATAATTAAGGGATTTCACAGCTCCTAATATAAAAAATAAGCAGGAAAAGTGGTAGATGAGCGCAGTTTGGATCCACGTTTCAACCTGGACAAATCCCTCGCACCTTTTCCTCGGGGGAGGTTTTTTTTTTTTGGGGTGGGGGGAGAGGTTTCTGCGCTCGCCCAGCTTTGGAGGTGTGATTTCAATTAGGGGCCGCGTGTTTGGACAGGGGGCCATAAAGCAGCAGCTGTATTTATTCACCCGTTTCGGAGCTGCCGTGGAAGGCAGGATGCTAAAACGGGCAGGAAAAAGGAAAAAAAAAAAAAAAAAACAACAAAAAAAAGTGTTTCAAAGGCAAACCTGAGGGATTCCTTTGTCCCTCCCGGTAGCCATCGCCGGGGTGCTGCCACGCCAGCAGGGGAATCATGCTGAGGCAGCCCCAAAATTGCCTGGAAATGCCCCAATTGCTCAAAACACCGAGCTGCTCCTTTTTGGGGAGGTCTATTTTCCCTGGCTTGGGCGATGAAAAGAAAGTTCAAAGCGTGAGCAACCTGCACGGATCCCCTGTTTGGGGCTGAGCACACGGAGATGTTGGTGCTGGGTTATTTTTATGGGGGATTTTTGCTCCCTGTTTATAACCCAATCGCTCAATTCTGGGGATTTCTCTGCGTTTGTGCACCAAAAAATGAATTTTGGGTGGGAATCCTGTGCTCGTGGAGGCATCCACACCAGCTGTGGGTTTCCATCGGCCCCAGGGGTGTCACACAGGGGTGCCACCCACACCAGACCCCAAAATATGGTCACACCACTGTGCAAGGATGGTTTTCCCGTGTCCCAGGGGGGTGCACAGCCCCAAACACCCCCCCAGCCTGGTGTGCAGGGGGTGATGCTCTGTTGGCACGTGTGGGTGTGGGTTTGGGGTGCCACGGGGCGAGGTGTGGGATGGGGACCGTGTCTGTGGGGTGTCCGTGGGGAATGGGGTGGGTGGCGGTGGAAGGAGGGGTGCTGGGGGGTGCTGGTGGAGAAAAAGGGGTGAAAAAGGGTGCTGGTATGATGGAAGGAGGGGTTTTGGGGGGATAATTTCAAAGGGGAGGGTTTTTTTTGGGGTGAGATTTTGGAACGAAGGGTGTTGGGGAGGGTTAGTACAGAAGGAGGGATTTTGGGGGGTGTTATTTCAGTCAGAGGGTGGTCAGAGAGCTGTTATTTGGGGAGGAGGGGTTTTGGGGGGGGTTATTCTGGAAGGAGGGATTTTGGGGGGCTGTTATTTTGTGAAGAGGGGTTTCGGGGGGGTTTACTTAGAAAGGAGGGTTTTTTGGGGCTGTTATTTTGGGAGGAGATGTTTTTAGGGTTTTAGGGTGGGTGTTATTTCGGGAGAAGGGGTTTTGGGGGTGATTATTTGGGGAGAAGGGGTGTCGGGGGGGTGTTATTTCAAAAGGAGAGGTTGGGGGGCTGTTATTTCGGGAGGAGGAGTTTTGGGGGGCGATTATTTGGGGAGAAGGGGTTTTGGGGGCTGTTATTTGCGGATCAGGGCTATTGGGGGGCTGTTATTTTGGGAAGAGGGTTTTTTGGGGGCTGTTATTTGGGATCAGGGCTATTGGGGGGCTGTTATTTCGGGAAGAGGGTTTTTTAGGGGTGTTATTTCGGGATCAGGGCTATTGGGGGGCTGTTATTTCGGGAGGAGGGATTTTGGGGAGGGTGTTGCTGAGGGAGGAGAGCTTTGGGGGGCGTTGAGCCCAGACGGAGGGGGGGGGTGTCCGGCGTTGTGGGGCAGCCCCCCGCCCCCCGTTTTGCATACGGGAGCGCGCCCCTTCCCCGCCGCCCCATATAAACCCCTCGGGCCGGCTGCCGGCAACGAGCTCGGGCCATGCCGCCCCCCAAGACCCCCGGGACCCCTTTCCACATCGAAGCGATCCTCGCCGCCCCCCCCCGGCCCGGCCCCGCCGCCCCCTGCCCGCAGCCCCCGCGCTGGCCGGGGCCGGGGGCGCTGCCGGGGGCTTGGGGTTGGGGTTGGGGCTGGAGCTGGGGAGGCAGCGGCGCAGGTGAGAGGGGATCCGAGAGGGTTTGGGGGGGGGTTCCCTGCTCCCCAGCCCCTTTTCGGGGGGGTGGTTGGTCCCCAAATTGCCCTTTTTCCAAAATTGCGGCCGCGGTTTCATCGCCTGCAGCCCCTCGGCCGACCCCCGGGTTAAAAGGGCTGGGCTGGAGGAAGGGAAATGGGGAGAGGAAAAATTCCCCTAATAATTAATTTTCCCCCCTTCTCACTCAGTAATTATCAGCCGTGTGACCCCCGACAATAACAGATTGGGGTGAAGCCAGCCCCAAGTGGGATTTAGTCCCTCCCGGTCGCTTTGGGGCAGGGGACAATCCCCTTGGCTACCCCTAGCCCCATTCCGGGGCTGCTTCAGTTGATGGAAGTGATTTTTTTTTTAATTTCCACCCACGAAAAAAGGCAGCGCAACGCGTGGTGCCCTGCTGTGCTCCCCAAAGCCCCGGGTCCTGCTTCTCCCGCAGCCACTCTGGGCTTTGGGACCACTTTGGGACCGTTTTGGGACCGTTTTGGGATCGTTTTGGGACCGTTTTGGGATCGTTTTGGGACCATTTTGGGGCCACTGGCTGAAGTTTTGCAGCACCTGGCCCCCACAACTGGTTGTGTTCCTAATGCCAGAGCACCCGAGGAAATGGTTTTGTTGCTGTTGATGGCTGTGGATATCATTTATGCTGTGGATATGGATGATGCTAACACACCACGCGGTGTTTTCAGGGAGAGGGGTGGCAAGTTTGGGGCCAGAATCGGTAATTTACAGGCAGTGCCTCTCTGCAGGATAGCTGCCCCCTTCTTTTTCTTGAAATTTTCATCATTCAGAGCATGATTCTCTATATTGCACAGGCAAAACCTGCAGCCAAGCAGAGAGTTTTACCTGTACGTGGACCTCTAGCCTGATCCTGACAGCTACGATATTCAGACACCAAAAATATTTGCTATCTGGATCTTTTTTTTAACTCCTTAGCCTAACTATTTAACATATTGTTTCTTTTACCAGGCAGCATCTTTATAGCTGTGTGTGTTACTCGATGTATTCTATCAAATATACAGATATGAAAATATAGTTAATCATATTACAGATATGAAAATATAGTTGAACAGTTTGTAAAACCATTTCCACAAAGTATTTCGTGCTTGAAGTCACACTCACTGTTATCCCAAGTACCAAAATAGGGAAAAAGTGTGACCGATGAAATTATTTAAACGCTGAAAATACTGTAAGTGGAGTTAGGGTTGTTAAGCTGGCACAAATCCTTACACACACACACAGAACTTACTGCCAATTAATCAATTAATGAGATGAATGAGGTCAAGGTGCCCGTTTGTGGCTGGAGAACGTGTCAGTCATTACAGGAGAGGAGTCAGCGTCGTTCTGTACAGCATGACCCTGAAAGACAAAGGAGTTGTTGGTTTTCCAAGACCTGTTACACCTCCGAAGCTGGTGTTGCTGCACCCTGGTGATGCTGCCCACGGGCTGCCAAACCCAGCTCCTGCTCAGAGCAGAGCCGATATCCCCACCAGGTCGCTTTGTTTGGGGGCTGAGGTTTCAGAATGCACAGATTTGAGTGTTACCGCCCTGATCCTGCACACGCTTGGCTTTAAAAGTGGGTTCTCATCCTTAAAGTGTGCCTAAATGTTGGCAGGACAGATTCTGCTGTAGCATCTGATGTATCCTACCAGGTTCCTAACACCTTCACGAGTTTATTTTGATACCTGGGGGTGTTCTGGCACCATTGGTTCACCTGTGTGTGCAGATCCCACTACCTGGAGCCTTCCTGGGGCTCCGAGGAGGAGCAGAGGTCCCCGATCCAGCAGCTCAGGGACTCGACCATCCCTCAATGCTTTACACCCTTCTTTGCAAAGCCCCCCAGTAATGTGTGTGCCATATCTCCAGCACCCTGGATGTGAAATTTCCTACCTTGACAGCTGCTGCCCCCTTTGCTTGGTCCTTGACCGAGGTCTCTGCGGTCCTGGGGGTGACACCGGGGACATCTGGCTCACGGGAGGTCCTTGGGGGACAGACCTGGGGGTCACAGCCACGCTCCTGCTCATGGGGATGTGTGGGAGTCAGGATCGGGATGAGATTTAGGACCAAAAGCAGGCTGGTGCCAGCAGATCCTGCGGTGGCGGTGCTGTATTGTGTGCTAATTAGGTAATTATTGTTATTTCGGGTCTGGCTGTGTGTCCAGGACTGTTCTAGGTTGTATCTGTCTGTGGGGACATTTCTGCTTTGCTTTTAGTGCTACTTCCTCGTGATCCCCTTCGGTGCAGCGTGCTGCAGGGTTTCAGCTGGAGCAAAAGCAAGCTGGGCATGGCACATACACAGGGCTGGAGGAATGGCCTGGACCATACAAATTGCTTCAATCCCCATTTCTTGCAGGTCTGGAGTTGTCTCACTGCGTAGGGACCGATCCCCTGGGCCCCGCTGGGCCCTGGAGGCCCGGGGGGCCCTGCAAAATGAAGAGGGTCCGCACGGTCTTCAAACCAGAGCAGCTGGAGCGGCTGGAGCAGGAGTTCCTCAAGCAGCAGTACATGGTGGGCACGGAGCGGGTCGACCTGGCTGCAACTCTGCATCTCACGGAGACGCAGGTAAGAGACGGGGCAGCCGGGGACGATCCTTTTTATTATTTATTTTTTATAAGAACAAAAACATTTAGGCGCACGAAGCTGTTTGCTCAGGAGTACGAGCTGGGGAGGACTAATGTAGATTGTTAAGATCCTCCGGAGACAATTTGTGCAGTAGAGATCCTCGCGTGACACTGGATCTAAAGTTTTTTCTGCTCTTCCCTGTGTATTTCTGAAAACCTCGTGCTGAGCTCTTGTGCCATTTCCCTGCTAGGTGAAGGTCTGGTTCCAGAACCGGAGGATCAAATGGAGGAAGCAGAGCATGGAGCAGAAGAAGGCGAAGCTGGCGCAGTTCGGGGTGATGCAGCCCACCTCTGCCGACACGACAGACACCAAGGACCACGAGGAGGACACAGTGGACGTCGAGCTTTGAGCAGCTGGTGGGATTCAGCTGCCACTTGTTTTTTACAGGTGTGCCTGCCTGATGGGAGGTACAATTTTGTGCTTGTTTGGTCCAAGCTAGACTTAAATCTCTCAGTCTGAGAGAAATGCAGCTTGGCCCCCCCAAGCGCAGAGACCCCATCGTTCCTGGGGCTCATCGCCAGGCCAGCTGCAATGCTGGTGCCATGGTTGTGGCAAGGCGTGTGTGTGATCTCGTTTGTTGAAGTGCCAGGGAGCACAAACAGTTCCTGTTAAAAGAGGCTGGGGTGACGATCGGGTGGTGTCTGTGCAGGCTGTGAGCGTGAGGGCATTTGCACACAGGGTGTTGCAGGTGACCGTGTGCTCCTAAGAGGGGAAACCCATGCTGGGAGGAGAACCAGCCCTGGTTGTTTCTCCTGGATATCTGGATTCCCATGTTTGATACTGAGATCACAACAAAAAAAAAAGCAAAAGCTGTGAAGTCCTTTGCTCCCACCCGTGGTATCTTTATTTGTATTTCCGTTCATATATTATCCTTGCAGTATGATGAACAGGGTCTGGGCCTGCCCCTGGAGCAGAAGTGCCTCCTATCTTGTGCCTTGCTGTATTTTTGCCTTCGTTTTGCCTTCCCAAACCCCCCGTGGGTCTCTCAGCTTTCCGACACTGCCTTCCTTCCCCACGGTGCTGCAGCAGGGAACAAGGCGCTCCCCCAGCTTGCTGAGGTTCGGGAATTTATAAAACCACAGCTTTCCAACACCTCTGCTGCTTCAGACGGCCCCCTGCCCCTCGGCCAGATGTGCTGATCCAGGCCCAGACGGCGGCTGCTGCTCTCTGCTCTCCTCGTTACACACCACGGTGCTGGGGGAAGCAGCACCTGGAGTGCTTGGCGAGCACATCTGCAACCCCGTGCTGCTGTGTGGTGGGTGGAAGGGCTCCGAGGGGCTGGTGATAAATAATTATTTGGGCTTTCCTGTCTGTTTTAGTAATTCTTTGGGTCCACACCAGCAGCAGCTAAAACTCTGGCTGTCACCTTGCAGTCCCAGGGTGCCGCGAGCTCAGGATAATTCATCGTGCCTCCTCCTGACCCCCAACACTGTATATCACTTTACTCTTTTATTATTTATAGAAATATCCTTTTTCTTGTTAAGTGTTATTTATTTGCTTTGTTTCTTAATAAAAATAGCGTGTTTTAAAAAAGAAATGGGACTGGGTGGGGGATGGCAGGGTTTGGCATCACCTTGGTTTTGAGGTGGGCAGCGATGGCTTGGTGGCTTCTTGCCCCGCAGATGCTGAAGATGGGCTATCCATCCTTTCTGTTGTGCTTGGTTTTCCGTGTTTTCCAGGAAATTGATTAAAAAATAAATAAAAAATGGAAACCTCCTGATAAGACTCCTGTTGTCGAAAAGTAACAGCAGCTTTCAAGCAGCAGAAGCCATCACAACGTGCTTTCCTCTGACCCATTTTCCTTCCCAAAATGCCAATACAAATACAAGCATTTCCCCCTCACACACGTCTGTGCTTGCTGGTAAACCCGTGCACTGACCTCGGCTTGAGCTGAGCAAGGACAGCTTTTAAACAGATCAGCTGAAATTTAACTTGTAAGTGCCAGAAAGCAGGGGGGAAACATTTCCAACCACTCTAATTTTAACATGAAATTTATTAAAACAAAAACCCCACATGTATTCCCATCCTCCCTCCCATTTTTATTTTTAAATTGGAAATTGATAGCCCATGCTAAGGTTGAAAGTAGATATTTTTTGTCCAGTTCCTGCAGAATTGGGACTGCATTTATAATAAATGCCACATTGGGATAGCATGGGTCAGAAAGGTTTGGGTCATGGCTCAAGCTGATGCTCCTACACTATGACTTTCCACTGAAACCTTACAAAAAGAGGACACATAGCGCTATTATTACACTAATGGCTACTCTTTTTGCTGTTAGTGTGAAGATGCAAGTAAAATATCACTCCTGAGGTAGCATTTATTCACCTGCGCCCCAGTCCTTGTTGCAGGACTGCGGGCACGGCTTAGCGCTCCCAACAGGGGCTCGCAGGAAAGAAAAGCTAAAACGATTTTAAGCACTTGGAGGAGAACCACAAGCCGACAGTGACACCTAGTGACACTGAAAAAACAAAAAGGTCCCCAAAGAAACCATGCCCCGTTCCCAAACCCGCGATCAAGGAGTGGGGCTGAGTCAAGCGGGTTCTGTCAGCTCCGGCATGAATTAAAGTCTGATTAAATACAACTGAACTCTCTGTTTTCATTGATTTTAGGCGTTTGCAGACAGCCAGGCTGGGGAAAGCAAGGTCGCATGTTAACGTGTGTAAATTTTGTGTTTATTTTTGCAGAAGGCTGGGCCGGTTTTGAGGGCAGCGGGACGCGTCTCCTCACACCGTGAGGGGCACAGCGCCTTCTCGCCTGACAGGGGCTGTCCCTCCCCGTCAGGGTGGTTAAAATAAAACAGTAATTTATAGCGGAGAGCCAGTCACGCTCCCGGCTGACGGTGGAGGCCCCGTTTGGAGGATTTTTGGAGGTGTTTTTTGGTGTTTTTTGGAGGGGACCAGGGTGGCGGCGAGGTGAGGGGAGGGCTAAGATGGCGGCTGGCCCCCGCCCTTCGGCCAAGGGGCTGAGGGGGGTGAGGGCGGTGAGGAGAAGGAAAAAAGAGGAGGAGAAGAAAAAAAGAGGAGGAGGAAAAAAAAAATGAAAGAGGAGGAGGAGGAGGAAGCGCTTCCCGCCCCCGGCGGGTCAGAGCGGGGAAGTCGCCGCCCGAAGATGGCCGCCGCGGCGGGGGACGTGTGCGGCTCCCCGGCTGGAGCCCAGCCCGGGGCCGCGGCTGAGGCTCGGTTCATCAGCAGCGCCAAGGTGAGGCCGGCCCGAGGGGCGTCCTGCCTTCCCCCTGTCCCTCAGCTCTCCTCCTTCGGTCCCTTGAGCCCCCCCGGTGCCACCACAGCCCTGGCGGATCCCCGTTGGTAAAGGGGGAGAAGCCCCGGCGCCGCCTCAGGGGGGTGGCTCCCCGCCTCGCCGTGCCCGGGTGGGCTCGGTTTTGGGGTGAAAAGCTCAAAACTTGGGGTTCGCTTTGGGGTGTGTGGCCCCTTTTCTCTGCTCCCCTGAACCACGTTTTCTTCCCTCGCAGGGGAAAGGCTTGTTCGCCACCAGGAGCATCCGCAAAGGGGAGACCGTCTTCGTGGAGCGGCCGGTGGTGGCCTCCCAGTTCCTCTGGAACGCGCTGTACAACTACCGAGGTGAGGCGAAGGCGAAGGTTTATCAACAAATTGCTATTTTTTTTTTCCAAAGGAAGAGGTTTCGGGTTGGTTTTGGCACCAACGTGCGGCACTGCTGGTGTTTTGCCTTGCGTTGATGAGCGGGAATGGTGTGAGGGGATAAATGCCCAGCCTTCGAGCTGGAAAAAAAAGCACCACGTGCCACCAAAGGGTGAGGCCCCCGATTTTTGGGTGGTTTGGGTGACAATTCCCATTACCCCATGCCACCGAGGGGGTGAGGACCCCAAATTTTGTGTGGTTTGGGTGACAATCCTCATTACCCCAGCACAAGGTAGAGCCCGCAAGGATGCCGGAGTGCTCTGGAGGTGTGAAAACGCAGGGCACTGGTTGGAAAAGCAAGGTTTTTAAACTTTTTTAGTGTACGTGGCTTAAACTGCTCTGCTGGGCTGGTGCTTTTGGGTCTAAGGAGATGATATAGTGTGACTTGGAGAAAAGAAATGCAAAAATGGGGTTTGTACACAAGCCGAGCCTTGCCCTACGTAGACCGCGCTGCCTGCTGAGCTGTCCCAGAGATCAGCAAAATGAGGATGCTTGTGGTGTGCATCATACAGCCCTTAAACACACGTCTCACTACGCGTCTGGTTGTGTTTTCTCCCCTCCAGCCTGCGATCACTGCCTGCGGGCTTTGGAGACGGCGGAGGAGAACGCCCAGCGGCTGCTGGGGAAGAGCTCCCTGGTGCTGCCTCACCCGGAGCAGTGCAGCATCCGGAAAGACCTGCACCAGCAGTGTCCCCGCTGCCAGGTATGGGGTTATCGGGAGGGATTGTGGCCTGCCTGGCGTCGCTGACTCCTTTATAGCATCTGGCCAGGCCCTCGGTAAAGCTTTTTGCCCCAAAATGGGTTCCTGCCTTTCCCCTTTCCGCATCGCTAAAGAGCTGGGGCTCAGACCGGTCAGGGAGGGGACACAGCGGGGCCCAGGAGCCCTTTTCCTGCTGCTGTAGCCGACGCCGGGCGCTGTGCCCCTCGCTCTAGGTGACGTACTGCAGTGCTGAATGCAGGCAGGCCGCTTTGGAGCAGTACCACCAGGTCCTCTGCCTCGGCCCGTCCCGTGACGACCCCACGCACCCCCTCAACAAGCTGCAGGAGGCATGGAGGTAGGGGATCGACCTGCCTGGTGCTCCACGGGCAGAGGCGGTGGCTCTAGTGTCACAGGCTGGGTGACACTAACTTGGGAGCAGTGCTGAAGACCGTTCTCGCTTTGCATCCCTGCATGGGGGTGGCTGGAGGGACCTGGTGGCTGTGGGTTTGGACACAGGCTGAGCAGTTCTTATTTTTTATCCAGCAAAGGGCTACAGAGCCCTGAGCTGCTCATCGCTCGCTCCTGCAGTTTTAGAGCATGCCTGCCACATCTCCAGCTGCTTGGAGATCCGCCTCACAGAACTCCTGCACGTCCATAAATTGCCGTCCCTGCTTGCAAGTGACAAAATGGGCACAGAATGGGGAAGAAGTGACATCCCTGCCCCAAACCTGGTCACAAACCCCAGCTCTTGTGCAGCCTTTGGGTTTCCACGGGACCAGGGCTATTCCCTGGGCTCTGGTTTAGCAGAGTTGTAGGGGATTATTTGTATCCCCTGGATTCCCAGGTGTGTGCAGGCTTCTCTCCCTGGGCTGGCCGCTTTGGTGATGAGCTCAGGCCTGAGCACAAAGATAGCAGCTGCCCCTGCCTCCCTCTGGATTTTTCTTTCCGTACCAGCACTGATCTCATCTTCCTTCTCTGTTCCTCTCCAGAAACATGCATTATCCACCGGAGACTTCCAGCATCATGCTGATGGCCCGGATGGTTGCCACTGTCAAACAGGTACGGCTGTCGTTTGACTCCACGGCTGCTGGTGTGAGGTTTCTTTCTCCTGCTGTGGCTTTTACTTCCAGGGACTGATCTCTTTTTGCAGCAGCTGGCAGAGCGCTTTCCTTCTTGAAGAGATTTCAATGTCTAGTGATTCCTGGTTGTAGACAGAGCAGGCAGCAGAGGAGGCTTCAGTGTCCTGAGCCAAGCAGATTTTATTTTTTTTCCATCCTAAATTAATTAGGCAGGATGGAACCCTTCCTTTGGCTCTGCTTCTTTGGCCTGGCTTTCTCGATGCTTTCGCTGGCAGTAAACTCCTGCCGTGCAACTGCTTCTGGTGGCTGGACACCTCTGAGCTCAGCGGGGCTCATCTTCTCCCCCCAGTTCTCCTGGCAGGGGAAGAAAGCAGGTTTTGATGCAGTTTCTTTGCTCGATTCCCTTTTCAGGCTAAGGACAAGGACTGGTGGATCAAGGCCTTCTCGCAGTTCTGCAGTAAGACAGCAAACGAGGAGGAGGAGATCGCTCACAAACTGCTGGGGGACAAATTTAAGGTAAGAGCCTGGCAGCACGTGGGTGCGTCGAGTGCTGGGAGCCCTCCAACCTGCCTGTGCCTGTGGCAGGAGAGGAAGGAGGTCGCTTAGAGGGCTTTGGGGTTAGGATGCTGCAGCAAAAACCTGCTGGCCCTTCTGTTGTGGGACTGCTTCAGCTCTGGGAACGGGACAGGGTGATGATATTGAGCTGCTGTCTCCTCAGCAGGTGGTTTTGCTGCTAAAATGAGCGGTTTCTTGCTGCTTTAAGGGCATCAACCCTCCAGCCTTGCAGGGAAGGACGAGGAGCCTGGCTCCTGAGCCTCCTGCCCTGCGCTGGGCTGAATCCCCGTGGTGTTGATGCACCCTAATGGTGTTCCCGTGTTCCGCCAGGGCCAGCTGGAGCTGCTGCGTTTGCTCTTCACCGAAGCCCTTTACGATGAGCATCTCAGCAGGGTGAGTTGAGTCACCTGCTCCTAACCCAGGAGCATGGCAGGACCTTTTTTTGGGTGCCAGTTCCCCTGGGTCACGTCTGCCCTGGGACTCTGCCCCTTTTCTCACTGCCCTCAAAGCTCCCTGTGGGGTTTGGGGTACGTGCAGGGCGAGGTGCTGCAGCAGGCTGGCCTGGCCTCTGCTGATTTCTCACCTCCCTTCTGCAGTGGTTCACCCCAGAAGGCTTTCGATCCCTCTTTGCCCTCGTTGGGACCAACGGCCAAGGCATAGGAACCAGGTAACGAGGCTTTCCTGGGTGCTTGTTGCAGGGCTGCGAAAAGGGGGCACGGAGGGGGTGCACAGCCTGCAAATCTGCATCAACCTCAGTAATTTCTGGGTTTGGATGTGAGGAGTGAAGCTGGGGGGGGGAAAAATTAAAAGCAGCCCTTCATTTTGTCTCCGTCCAACCTTTTGGTGTCCCTCTGCCAGACCGTGGCCACTCAAAACATGAATTTAACCCTTAGACCCCCCCATATGGGGTCCCACCGTGCCCCCAGCAGCGCTGTGGGGCTGTAGTGGTGTTTTTCTGCTTCCCGACAGCTCCCTGAGCCAGTGGGTGCACGCCTGCGACGCGCTGGATCTCCCCATGCTGCAGCGAGAGGAGCTGGACGCCTTCATCGACCAGCTCTACAAGGACATCGAGAAGGGTGAGGGCCCGACAAGGAAGGCTCAGCTGAGGGATCCCGTTTGGAAAAACACTCAAAGCACTCAAAGACCTGCCTGTGCTGTTCATTTGGCTGAGATAAGGATGATTTAATTAATGGGAACGAAGAATTATTAAGGAAAAACTATTATTAAACAACTTAACTAAAGGAGAAAGGGAAAAAAAACAAGTAAAGGCCGTGTGGAAGTGCAGAGGAGAGAAATTACTCCCTGCTTGCCATAAATCAGAGCTGGCTGGGGGTTTTCTCCTCGTGCTGCGTGCGTGGCAGAGCCAGAGCAGCCCCCACAAAGTCTTAACCTGCTCTTAACCTTCCCCTTACTCTGCTGCAGAATCGGGAGAGTTCCTCAACTGCGAGGGATCGGGTCTCTACGTGCTGCAGAGCTGCTGTAAGTAAGAGGAGGGCTGTGGGAGGAGCTGGCAGCCAGGGGAGGGTTGTGCCCTGCTGGCCCGAGTCACCTTTTCCTAGCCCCCAGCGTGCCCCCCGTGCAGCTGGGGTGGCCGCAGCGTCGTGTCCTTAGCCCAGCTGTGGCCCTCCCGGTTGGAGGCACTGCTTAGTAGCCAAAAAAGCAGGGTTTGGCCAGCAAAACGTGCTCCTGGGCCACCTGGGATGGCTGGCACAAGCCCCACTGCCTTTTTTGGGTCCCCAGGTAACCACAGCTGCATCCCCAATGCTGAGACGTCCTTCCCGGACAACAACTTCCTCCTGCATCTGACAGCTCTGGAGGACATCGAAGCAGGAGAGGTGAGGCAGAGGCGTGCGGGCGAACCCGGTGGTTCCCTACCTTCACCCCAAACCCCAAACCCCAGCCCTGTACCTCTTATTTGTCCCGCCACGGGACGGTTCCCTGGCTGGGGTGAATTTCAGCCTTACTCCACGGAGTTGCCGCTTGACCCCGCGTTTCCACGAGGCTTTTGGGGCGGTTCTCAGCCCGGCCCTTTTTCTTTTTGCTGGCAGGAAATCTGCATCAGCTACCTGGACTGCTGTCAGAGGGAGCGGAGCAGACACAGCCGCAACAAGATACTCAGGTAGGGGGCAGCCACCCCCCACCCCATCCCAGCAGCAGCAAACCCGCAAGTTCCACCTGTTTTAGCCCCCTGCCTCATCAGATCTGCGCCCCTCTCACCTCCCTCCCTCTTTTTTTTCTCTCCTCTCCCCTCTCCCAGGGAGAACTACCTGTTCACCTGCTCGTGTCCCAAGTGCCTGGCGCAAGCCGACGACCCCGACGCGACGTCGGACGAGGAGGAGGAAGGCGAAGGGGAGACGGACGACGCCGAGCTGGAGGACGAGATGACCGACGTGTGAGCGAGAGGAAAGGGACGGGCGAGAGGAAAGGGTCCTCCCGGAGGGCTGCAGCTTTAACTAGTCAAAAACAGGGTTGTGTTGTGGGGTCGGGGGGCGAGGAGCTGTGTCGGAGCGGGGCAGCGAGGGAGCTGGAGGCAGGCCCCGCTTCCACCTGCCCTTGTGCTGTGTGTGCGTGTGTGTGAGGCCGTCCCCATCCTCCCTGCGAGGATTGGGGGCAAGCCAGCAGCCCCCTGCCTCATCCCGGTACCTCTTGGGGCTGAGTGGTGGTTATAGGGGCAGCTGGAGGGGCTCTTGGGGCCGTGTTGGGCCGTGGGGGTGTCGTTTCCCACCCCGCAGGGATGAGGGGAGTGTGAGTGTGTGGGTGTGCGTGCACGAGGGGAATTATTTAATGTCTGTATTAACACGCCGAGGGGCTGGGGGCTTTCTGCACGCTCCGTTCCACGCCTCGAGCTCGGTGAGCAGCAAGCGAGGGGCAAAAGGGGTTGAAAAGTGGGGCAAAAACGCCTCGGGGTGGCTCGGACACCCAAATCTGTGGGGGTGGGCCATCAATCCTCCCTCCCTCAGCCCCAGCTTTCCTTGCTGGGCTGTTTAGGGAGGGCTGCAGCTGCCACAGGCTGGGTCGTGCAAGCAAATCCCCCCCCAGAGCCCAGAAAATGTTTGGGGTTTCACAGCGAGGCTGGGAAGCACCCGGGGTATTTTTTTCCCCCCCACCCTGTTTGTTTTTGGAGCTGTTTTTCCAGCCTGTTCCCTTCCAGGGGTGTTTGGGGGATCCGGGCACCTCTGCCACGACCATTCCCTGCCAGCCCCGTGCCCGTCTGCTTGTCCCCAGCCTCGGGTGGCCCCCCCGGGCCCTTCAGTGTTGGTAATAAACTGAGCCTGGTGAGCCCCAGGGCTGCGTCTTCTGTGGGGTTACGTGGGAAGGGGGGGACAGCAGGTACAAAAAGATGGGGTTTAGGATTTTGGGGGGGTACAGGGAGGGCTGAGGGCAGCCACGAGCCCTGCCACAGCGGCAGGAGGCAGCTTGGGAAGGGTACTGGGGAAAAAAAAAGGGATGAAATCGTTCTTTTATCCACAGCTACTAAAAAAAAGAGAAACTCCCCTTTCTCTAAAACTTGTCCAGACTTCATTAGCTCAGACAAAAATACACAGGGGCCGGGCGAGCCCGTATCCACCTCCCTCCCCTCCCCTTCAGGCTGTAATGCTGCATCCCCCCGAATCAGCACCACAAACTCCCGTTGGCAGCCTTAAAACCTTCCTGGGGAGGCGCCGGGCCGTCCCCTCCCTCCCAAAAAGTCCCTACAAAGGTTGTTCGGTTGCTCGAGGCCCCACCTTGGGCCCAGCTCCACACCAGCACGAAGATCTTCCCCGTGGGGCTGGGATTTTGGAGAACAGGTCCACGGAGGGGGTGAAATCCAGGGATTCCCCCCCAAAAAAAAACAAGTCCTTGATCCGCTGCGGCCTCCCGCTGCTACCAGAAGGTCCAGGGGGGCTGCATCATCTCGTAGGTCGGGATGCTGGTGACGTTGACGGGGATGGAGATGACGGCCCAGGGGAGCCCGTGCTGCTCCAGCGAGCGCCTGATCATGTACCTGTGAGGATAAAAGCGACGTGGGGAGGGGAAAACAGAGCCCCGAGGCGAGCACAGACCACTGGCCGGCTCAGAAACTTGGATAAATTAGACAAAACCCACCAAAAATCCGGCTCAAAGCTTGGTGGGACACCGGGACCTCCCTTTTTAGTGGGAATGGGATTTTCTCGGCCCTTCCCATGAGATTGGGGCCGAGGAGAAGCCCCCCCGAGGCACCTACCCGTCCCTGCCCAGGAGGAAAAGCGCGGGGATGTCGGCCGTCCTCCTGGTGCTGTCCTGGATCATCTCGATGTAGAAGCTGTCGTTATCGTAGGCGTTGTCCGCGATGATCACCGCCCGCCCTCCGTGCTCCTGGATCACGCGCGTCTTCGAGAGGAACGAGCAGCCCCTGGGGCACAGAATCAGGAATATTTTGTCCAAACTGAGGGCTTTTGGGGAGCAAAGCTGGGAGATTTGTGGGTATTTGTGGTGCCTCTGCAGCCAGGAGAGGCACCACTGAGGCAGAAACTGTTGGAAATGCCCACGAAAGGATCCATCTCCCTGTCACCGTGCCTCTCCCAACGCCTCTTTGAGTAAATCAGACTCAAATAAATAAAAATAGAGCTCCCTGCGTTTATATTTAGGGATGTGGCTGCCCAAATTTTGCTGCTGGGCCTAAGGGGAAAAAAAAAAATACAGGCTGGGGGTGGTGGCAGCACCTTTCCATGCTGTGACACTGCCACAAACCGCCCCACGGGCAGCTCCATCCTGCCTCGAGGTTCCCCCCTCCCCAAAAAGCAGCTCCCGCAGCGCAGACCTACCCCCGCTCCACCAAAGCGATCTGGTCCTGGATGAAGACTCCATTGTTCAGCTCTCCGCAGGCTTCGGGGGGATCCGCTGGGACCAGGTGGATCTGGTCGTACCTTGTGTTCTCCGAGGGCAAGACAGGCAGGGCTGAGCGGGGCCGAGCACGAAATCTGCCGCCCCCACCCCTCTCTGTCCTGCTGCCCCCTGTAGGATGCACCCCGGGGGGCTTTAGGGCTGCCAGGAGGTTTATGGGGAAGAAATTTGCTAAATTTGCTCATTTTCCGTAAAAAAATGACATCAGGGGGCCCTGAAGTGGCGAAAAGTCAAGGTGGGGGCCCCACAGTGAAACATCAGGATGGGACCCGTGTTTGTTCCCATCCTTACAAACACCCCCGTGGTGAAATGTCAGGAGGGGGGACGCGTGTTTATGGCCGTACTTACAAACACCCCGCCGAAATCCTTGGCCGGCGTGGCCGTGAAGATGTAGCGGATGTCTCCAGGGCTCAGCACTTGGAAGTACAGGTACTCGTGGATGCGCAGGCCTGCGGGGTGGGGAAAGAGTAGGTGGTGAGAGGCTGAGGAAAAACACAAAACTCCCGAAAAAAAGTAAAAAAATAGAAAAATTGAAAATTAAAATTAAAATTAAAAAAAAAAAAACAAAAAAACTGGGAAGGGGCTGAGGGGAGCTAATGGACTCTGAGGAGGGCTGAGGGGCTCTGAGGGATTTAAGAGGCCCTGAGGGGGGCTGAGGGGCTCTGAGGGGAGTTGAGGGGGTCTGAAGGATTTGAGGGGCCCTAAGGGGGGCTAAGGGGGTCTGAGGAGCCCTGAGGGTGGCTGAGGAGCCCTGAAAGGAGCTGAGGGGGGATGAGGGGAGCTGAGGGGCCCGAGGGAAGTTGGGGGGCTGAGAAGCCCTGAGGGGCCCTGGAGGGGGCTGAGGGGCCCTGAGGGGAGCTGAGGAACCCTGAGGGGGCCTGAGGGATTTGAGCGGCCCTGAGGGGGTCTGAGGGGAGATAAGAAGCCCTGAGGGGAGTTGGGGGGCCCTGAGGGGCTCTGAGGAGAGCTGAGGGGCCCTGAGGGGAGCTGGGGGGGCCCTGAGGAGCTCTGAGGAGAGCTGAGGGGCCCTGAGGGGGGTTGGGGGACCCTGAGGGGTGCTGAGGGGCCCTGAGGGGCCCTGAGGGGCGCTGGGCCGGGCGGGCCCTGCACCCTCCGGCAGCGCCTGGGCCTGAACCCAAAGGTCCCCGAGGGTTCCCGGGGGTCTCCGGTGTTCTCCGGGGGTGTCCCTGGGGGTCCCCGGGGGTCCCCGGGGCCGCTCACCGCGGGCCGGGCAGGAGCAGAGGCAGAGGCAGAGCCACAGCGAGCGGCGGAGCATGGCTGCGCCCGGCCCCGCCCCCTTCGCCCCCGCGCCGCTCCCATTGGCCGCGCCGCCCCCGCCTCGCCTTCCCATTGGGCGGCGCCGCTGTCAATCTCCTGAGGGGCCGAGAAGGGAGGGGGGGAGGCGTTGTCAGCACCGCCCTCCTCGGTCCTCCAGCGGGGCGGCCAAATAGAGATCCATAGCCGCGCGCCGCTCGTCGAGGGCCGCGCCCCCTGCGAAACAGTGAGCCAACCCGTCTCTATGGTCATCGGGGGTAGAAGGGCACCCCCAGGACCAGCGAGCGCGGCCGGAAGTGGTTGCCTAGCAACGCGCGGGGCATTGTGGGGCGCGGGGCCTGCCGCAGCCGGGAGCCGCCGCGAGGAGCGCCGCAGAGATGATGGTGAGCGCCATCCGCCGCCATCCGTCCCCATCCTCCGCCATCCGCCCCGCCGCTGCCTCGCCCGGCCCCCGCCGCCCTCCGGGGACCACCGCAGGAGGGGATGCGGCGGGATCCATCGCGCTTTAGGCCCGCGGATGGCGCCGCGGCCGGGCCTGGGGGGGGGGCGGGCGGCGGGCGGGGGGCTAGGCCCGGGTTTGAGGGGTTGGGGGGCGGCCGCGGGCCTGCCGGGAGTTGTAGTCCGGGGATGGGGGGTGCGGGGTTTGCTCCTCGTTGGGATCCGGCCCCCACACGGTGCTCTTCGCGTGGGGCGGGCTGTGGCGCTCCCAGCCCTCGGATCTTCACCCCTGGCGGTGGTCGTCCTGCTCTCAAGGTGTTTTAAAGCTGGGGGTGACAGACGTGGGCTGTGCCTGCACAACACGCCCGGTTCCCTTTGTGGAGCACAGTGAGGAGCCTGCTGGGGGCTTGGATGCCCTCTAGGCCCTGCCTGTGTTTCAGAGACCTCTCCCCCCATTAGACATGAAGCAGGTGTGGTCGCTTTGTGAACGCTTTGTGTTCATTCACCACAGTTCTCTCTGAATACATTACTATCCTGGTTGTTCTCCTTGGGGTTGCATGGGCTGCGGCTTGAGATGTGACAGCGAAAGGGCCGTTAGTACGACAAAGACATCAGGGCACCAGAGCATGTCCATTGTAGAGCTAAGAAGCTGGAGAAGGGTCTGGGACACAAAACCTATGAGGAGCGGATGAAGGAACTGGGGGGGGTTGGGCTGGAGGCTCAGGGGAGACCCCATTGCTCTCTGCTACTGCCTGAAGGGAGCTGTGGGGAGCTGGGGGTCGGCCTCTGCTCACAGGTAACGGTGATAGGACTGAGGGAATGGCCTCAAGTTGTGCCAGGGGAGGTTTGGGTGGGAAATGAGGAGACATTTCTGTCAGAAAGAGCAGTTAGGGGTGGGGATGGGGTGACAGGGAGGTGGTGGAGTCCCCGTCCCTGGGGGTGTTCGAGGGAAGGTGCTTGGGGACGTGGCTCAGTGGGTGACAGTGGTGGTAGGGGGGTGGTTGGACCAGATGATCTTCGAGGCTTTTCCAACCCTAATAATTCTGTGGTTCTGTTGTGCCAAACATCCTGCTGGCTTCGTGATTACTGTTATTCCATGGAAGGACTTTGAGCCCAGCTTTGGAGCAGTGGGGTTAAAATTAAAAGCTGAGTGGCTGGTACTTTGAGCAGAGGGCTTTGAGGGGTCTGTAGGTTTTGTCCTCGGCCTCGTTGTGCAGTGGGATCGTGCTGCGCTGCACCAGAGCACTGAGACAAGAGTACCAGCCTTACTGTGTGTTCTCCCCCCAGCCAACACCAGTTATCCTGCTGAAGGAGGGCACCGACACCTCGCAGGGGATCCCGCAGCTCGTCAGCAACATCAATGCCTGCCAGGTGATCGCCGAGGCCGTGCGCACCACGCTGGGGCCGCGGGGCATGGACAAACTCATCGTGGATGACCGGGGTAAGCAGCCTTCCTTGGAGAGGCTCCTCCTGCAGCTAATGGCCATTCTGTAACATGATTTAATTTGTATTTTTTAAACTAACATAAGCATTTGTGCAGAATTCAGCTTCTCTGTCCCGTGCTGAGCTCAGCTCGCAGCACAGAGGTGCAGCTCCTGCCTCAGGGCTCAGTTTGGTGCCTTGGTTCTGGCCTCAGCTGGTGCAGGCGTCCCAGCTGCCTGCTGCTGGGGTTCAGGCAGCTCTGCTTTTGTTGGGAAGCTGCTGAGATCCACGCTTAGGGTGACTCGATGCACATCCGTGGCAGGAAGGAGGAGCTGTGTGTCCCAAACATGGTCCTCAGGTATCCCTGACTTCCTCTCTCACTCCCCCATCTCGTTATTTTTATGATGAGGCTCATAATTTGCGTGGGGTTACTTAGCTCTTGGTTTGGCAGAGTGAGTGTGGATGAGGTCAGTGGATGCTACTGGGTTTATTTTTGTGTGATTACGGATGAGACCCATCCCTTTGAAAAGACTTGCTTCAAGTCACTAAAAGAGTGTTGTTTTTTTTAATCCCTGTTACTGTAAGGTCTTAGAACTCTCTTAATATTTTTTACAAACACAAATTATAATGATTGTATTTAAAAACGTCACTTGAAATTTCAATATTATTTAAATTTAATTTTAAATTTGCTCAGTGGATAATATGATTTATTTCTAGTTTCTTTCTTTATATGAGTATCAGACTAGGATATCTCTGTGTGTTTTTTTTAAACTAACATGACTATTCAGAAGTAGAGGGAGATGAATTTAAAGCCTCTCCCTTAACTGATGCAGAGACTTGTTCAGCACTTTGACAAACTACGTTTAATTTGCCCCAGAATTGGGCTAAAAGTCAATGTGGCATTTTTCCTGCTGGTGTTCCATGCAACAGCTGTCCTGGGCTCTCCTCTGTCACAGGGAGGGGCCCCGAGCTGTCCTTGTCAGCCAGCTCATGGCTGTGTTAAAATATCGTGGTGACTACATTGCAGGTCACATGGGAGAGAGGAAACAATGCAGTAATTCGGCTGAAAGAAATAATTTTAAATGGCAGATTGGGGTTAGAGCCTGTGGTGGTTTCGACTTGAGAAAATTCACAGTGATGGGACTGGCTGGTTGGTGTTTTTTGAGGTCTTTGAGGTCTGCAAAGCTCTGCTTAAGCTGACACGGCCGTTTTGTGGTGCTGAGGGCTGTATTTGGGGCATTTGAGTTTAATTTCCCCGTTTAAATCCATTACAGGCAAAGCCACCATCTCTAACGACGGCGCCACCATCCTGAAGCTCCTGGACGTTGTCCACCCGGCCGCGAAGACGTTGGTGGACATCGCCAAGTCTCAGGATGCCGAGGTAGGAGGGTGACCCCGCGGTGTGCCTGGTGGCACCGGTGTGCACGTGGTGTTAATTTGGGGGGACTGATCGTGGAGTGCTGACTTTTAGCCTGGTTTCTTTACTGGTGCTTTTGTTCTTGTGATAACTTCGGAATCCCGTGTGCTGTTTCAGCCAGAGGTGGGGAGAGGGTTGGGAATTTCAAAGTGCCAAGTTCCCATCTGGTGAGCAGGGGTAACTGGGAGGTGGGAGGTGTCACCGTGCCCTCAAACAGGGCAGAGTCTGAACCCAGTGCTTCACGATAACCAAAGGATCCAGCTGCAGATCTTTGAGCAGAGAAGCCCTCGGGAAGCCCTTGCTTGTGGTTTCGAAGCTGTTTCCCCAGCAGCTCTGCTGGCGGTGACGCAAAACCTCTGTCCGTGCAGGTTGGCGATGGCACCACGTCCGTCACGCTGCTCGCTGCCGAGTTCCTGAAGCAGGTGAAGCCCTACGTGGAGGAAGGCCTCCACCCTCAGATCATCATCCGTGCCTTCCGCACCGCCACACAGCTGGTGAGGCAGCACTGCATGCTCTGACAGCGCCTCTGGGGGGAGCAGCCTGTGACAGGGGTGGAGGGGGATGAAATAAAATCCTTTTTCCAGGCCAAAGCCAGTGGAGGAGCTGAGTGGGGGTGTCAGTAGCCATCTCCTGGTGGTTTGCTGCAAGCATCAGCTGTTCTCTGGTATCACTGAGCTGTTATTGCCAGCTCGTGCCTCTGGGGCGCTGTTCTCTCTTTGTTTTTTTCTCCAAGGAAGAATGAATAAGCGGGAAAATTCACTTCCTGATCTCTGCTACTCCTTGTGCACCTTACGTCTCGTGAAGCAAATCAGTCAGTCAGGCTGAGCCTTCTCTGGGGATTAACTCCCTCGGTTGTAATGCCTGGCTGGATTTGAGAACTGGGTTTGGAGGCTCTTAAATGTGCAAAGATAACAGTTCAAAATCCCACCAGAGTTCTTCAAAGCTGTTATTTCTATGGTTTGAAAAGGAAGAAGCCTCTTAATGACCTCATTAAGCTTCTAGCCATTACAACAGGAAATATTACAGCAGGTGGAGTCTGAGAGTTCTGCTCAGAGCACGGGCAGAGGTTGTGTATAAACGTTTTTAGCTGTATGTGCTGGTTGTCTGGTGTGTGTGTGTGTGGATGGGGTTTCCCAGATCTCTGCTGAAAGCAGCAGTGCAGCTTGGAGCCTCTCCCCTTTCTCTTACACTTGCTGGGTTTCTTCCAGCTGCTGTACTGGAAGGGATGCAGTAGTGAAGTGCTTGAAACTTCGGTTACGTTGAAGGAGGGAATAAAAGCTGGCATAAAACACAAAGAGAAGTTGGAGATCTGCTCAGCTCACAGGCAGGAATCGTTAATCCAGCTGTTGGCTTGTGTTTTGGCAGGCTGTGAACAAGATCAAAGACATTGCTGTTTCCGTCAAGAAGGAAGATAAAGAGTAAGTTTCCCTGGTGGGTGACCTGGTTGTGGAGCTGGGCTTCGCTTGGTGGCTGCGAGGCTTTGCTGCCTCCTGCTGGGGCTCTGGCTGAGCTCTTGAGGTCGGGATGAGCAGCTGTGGCCCCACACCGGGGTTTTTCTTGAGCTCTTGGAATTTCCTGCTCCTGCAGGGAAGGGGCTGTGCTCTCACTTGGGTTGCTGCTGCAGCAAAGTGGGGCAGTGTTTTCCTGGGCGCTTGGAGGAGGCTGGATACCAAAATAAGTGGCCTCATTTCTTCTGTCAAGTGACAGCGGAGACTTGTAGCGTCTGGTGGAATTGCTGTCAGTGTTAAATGCTCGGTGCTTCCCTTAAAATCAAATCCCTTCTTAGCTGCTGAGTGCATGAAGGGAAACGGCTAAGAAC